TCTATCTATCTATCTATCTATCTATCTATCTATCTATCTATCTATCTTCTATCTACCTACCTACCTATCATTATCTATACATATCTATCTACTGACCATCCATGCATCCACCCAGCCACCTATCATCTACCTACCTACCTACCTACCTATCTACCTATCTCAATAGCCCTTAGACTTATATGCCTCTTCACGGTGCTTTTACAGCCCTCTCTAAGCAGTATACAAAGTCAGCCTTTTGCCCCCAACATTTTACCTCATTTTACCCACCTCAGAAGGACGGAAGGCTGAGTTCAACCTTGAACTGGTGAGAATTGAACTCTTGGCAGTTGGCAGAGTGAGCCTGTGGTACTGCATTCTAACCACTGTGCCACCATGGCTCTTCAAAGCAGCACTCAGCCTATTTTACGGTTTCCATGTCTTGACTTCCCGCGTGTGAAACTTCAGAGGCAAGGAAGGACCCCGTTGGGTTGGGAAAATTTCCCCCAAATTGGGGCCAACTCCCTTCCGTATTATTTGTTGAGAAGCGGCTCCTGATTCTCATCTCCGTCCCCAACCTCCACACACCTCCCTTTCACACCCATTGCCCAAAATATCTTTTGGTGGTGCTCTTTCCTCTTTCCATCCTCTTCTTCTGTTGCCTGCCTCTTCTCCCCTCAGTGAGACTTGAATCTCATCCGAGGGTTGAATCTCAGAAGGTGACTGACCCCCCCCCCCCCGGGGTTCTGTCTTAAGTTGCCCCCCCCCCCCCCGGCTCCCAAACGGGAGAGCCCCACGAAAGGCTCCGTGCTTCTCTCTTCCCCAGACCTACGAGGACCAGCACAGCAGCGAGGAGGAAGAGGAGGAGGAGGAAGAGGAAAGCGAAGACGGGGGCGAGGAAGACGACATCACCAGCGCCGAATCGGAGAGCAGCGAGGAGGAGGAGGAAGGGGGAGAGCAGGAGGAGGACCCCCAGCACGTCAACCGGCAGCAGCAGTTGGAGTGGGACGACTCGACCCTACCCTACTGAGCCCCTCCCCCCCCCCCCCCAACACCCCCTGCTCCCCTTCTTGTTGTTTTTTTCTTTTCGTTTCGTTCTCCTGCTCCGGAGAGCGCCGGGACAAACCACTTCCCTTCCTTTTCAGGGGTCCCGGGGGGGGCCAGACTGTCTCCTGGCCCCGTTAGAGTTGGCCAGTCTCCCTTCCCTCCCTCCCCCTTTCGTGTGTCGGGCATACCCTCTCCCAAATCCCCGCCTGTAGAAATGTAGCTAGCCCCTCTTCCTCTTTTCCACTCCACTCCCGCGCTTATGCACCATTTAAATTTAAAATGATTGGTCTTTTTCCCCGGCGGGGGGCACAGACCAAGGGTTTGAAGGTGTCACCCTATACTTGCCTCGACTCCCACCGAAGACGTCCCCGAATGCCGTGAGCGGCTCCTCCTCGATGCTGTCGTCTTGGTAGGCGAGGATGGCAGTCGCTTCCAGACCCAGGGCATCGAACCATTCTCAGCGGGGAAGGTTTGGCAGGTCTCCATTCACCCGACAAATCTTTTAAATTTAATTTGGAAGGACCCCCTCCCCAGGACAGGGATGAGGTTCCCTTGACGGCCCTTTACCACTATTTTCTGGGCCTTTACCTGTTCCTTGTGAAGCCCAGAACGGACTTCTTAATAGTTGGCCAGGACACGAGGGTCATATACGAACTTGTGTCCACCACCATATCACACGGGGATCCCTCCACTCCCCCCGCCAGTGACTGGATTGTGGCGATTTCCCTTTTCTTTTTTCAACTTGCAAGGGCCTTGCCTTGTGTTTCCTGGTCCCAGTCAGCTCCTCCCAACGGCGGCTTTTTTTTGCAAGCGATGTTTCCCGCCCGCATCAGCATAGGGGCGGCTCTTAAAGCAGCCGCCGTTTTCGGCTCGCAGAGGAGGCTGCTTTAATGAACCGCAGGGGAAAGGCGTGTCTTCTCAACCCTTGTAAAACATGCCCGGATCGAATGCTTCCCCTCCTGGGTTGTTTTTTTTTCTTTCTTTCTCCACTTTAGAATTAAATTTTATTTTTTTATTATATCATAGAGGGCTGTTCTCCCCCCCCTCCCCGTTTTGCATCTCTTTTTTTCTGGTTTGCAACGGGGTGAAAGCAAAAGGGGGGAGAATCCCCCCCAACCGCTTGTCTGTCGACCGAGAGCTAACCTCTTTTTTTTTTTTTTAATTTAGTCTTTTTCCCTAAAAAAAAAAAATCGCTTTGGTTTTTAAGCTGATTTTTTCCGTTGTCTCAGCTCCTCCCCACGACGATTTCCAAGTGCTTCTTTTTCTTTTCTTTTTTTCTACCCCCCTCCCACTTTGTTCCTCTTCTTCCTGACTCTAGTGCATGTGTAAAATGGCAGAATGGGGGGCGGGGGATCAATATTTAGGAGATTTAACAAGACTTTTTAATATTTTGTAAATACGTCGGAACTATGTAATTATGTCACTTGTGGTAGTGAAAACATGGCTGGGGGAGGGAGGGAGGGAGGGAGGGGAGACGGCCGCGCGGAGGTTTCAAATGACGACGAAGAATCATGCAGCATGGCATAGCGATTTTAAGTTGTTGTTTTTGTTTCCAGAATTCCCAAGGCAAGAAGCCTGGGACAAGTTTTTAAGTAGTGCAGAGAAAACTCAACAGCCACCTCGGAGCTGGCGGACTTGACTGCAGTTTCACACGAGGTCTGTGGATGGGTCCACCCCCCCCACACACACACACACTTTTTTTTTAATTAATAAAATAAACGAATCCATTTTTCTTTCCGAAAGGGGGGGGGAAAAAGAACGAAAGAAAGAAAGGTGGTTTGTCCTCTCGGCCACCTTCGGATCCAACTGTTGTTATCCACAGAAGCAACATGGCTCCAGCTTTGGTTGTTGCTTTGAAAGCAGGTTGCACCCAGGAGCCCTTTTAAACGCGGCCCTCTCTGGGTTTACACACTACACTTTCTCAGGAGTTGAGCCACCAAACCAGATCCAGATCCGGTCCAAGTTCACCTCAGCTGCTGAGGAAGGGTTTTTTTGGTGTTTTTTTTTTGGTGCCATTCCTCGTTTTGTTGTTTTGTTTTGTTTTGAAAACACTCCCATTCATTCCTGTAGCTACTACAACACTAACTTGAGGCGTGGGGTGTTTCTTATCTCCAGCTGCTTATTTTTTTATTTTTATTGAGGGGGGCGGGGGGGAAGAGGGGTAGGGTCTTTGTATACCCCGAACGAATGTGGGGGGGAGGGGGGCTCTTCCTTCCCAACCTCCCTAAAGCGATCGCATCAACATTCCAGATAACGTTGAAGAGTGGTCCAAGAGAACAGACCTAGCTGTTAAATAAAACCTTGCCTGGATGATTTGTGCCCGAAGCAGAACGGTTTCTCTCCAAAAGCCGTTTTACGCACCGGTGTAGCGGCAGGAAATGTCACATTCTCCTAGGTGGAAAGAGGGGGGGGGGGTTTGGGGGGGGGAAGGGGGTAGAGGAAGGGATCTTCTCCCTGTTAATGCAACATTTTGGAAAAAAGAAAAAGAAAAAAACAATCATTTGCTTTTACGGTTCTTCTCTTGCTCCGTGGCCAAAGCCTGTTTCTAATCATTGCACAGAGCACACAAATACACACACAGAGAGAGACACACACAGCTTCTCTCCTGGTACATGGTAGATCTGCCCCAAACTGGCAAAAGCACAAAAAAAAAAAAAAATTAAAAAGGGAGGAGGAGGATTTCAGCTGCAAAAGTATAGAAGTTTTTTTTGTTGTTTTGTTCTTTTTAAATCTTTACAGCAGGAAGCAAGGAACAGAAAAGGAAAGCAAAGCCCGTGGCAGAAATATTCGGACAGGTAGAAATCTCCCTTTGGTCCTGGCCATCCCACCGTGAAAAAAAATGGGGTGTGCCTGTATCCGTTGGGCAAGGGGAGCGGGGTGGTATGCTTTAATTACATCCCCCCCTTTGAGAACTTCCCTTCACTGCCAAGCCAGGAGTTGTATAGGGTTTCCTTTGGACCGGTCTGATCTCCACAGTGCCTTTGGCAAATGGGACAGCTCTGAAAGCCAAGCGCAGTTTCACTCCCCACCCTTCAAATCATCACCCCTTCCCCTTCTTTTTTTTTTTTTTTGCAAAAGCAAAAAAAAAAAAAAAGGACAGGAAAATGAAAACGGTTGATTGATTAAACAGGCAAGGGAAGCTGGTTTGGAAGATTTCCACATGCGACTTTTCACTGGGAACACTCTTAACTTGTGTCTGAATTTGTCCTGTGTTTTGTTGTCACTGTATAGAGAGAAAAAAACAAAAAACCACCCTTAAGCCTTTTTCTCCATGATCCTGTCTCTGTTTAGCAACTGTATTTTAGAGACTGTAAACCTAATCATGTTCTCAGCCTCCCTCTCTCCCTCCCATACTAATATGGAAAGGCTGTAATTTTTTTTTTCCCCCTCTGATGCATTTTGTAGCCATCATGGGTCTTAACATTTCAGATGTGTATATTGGTAAATAGGTCACGTTTGGAAAAGTCTGAGCTACAATAAATTTCTGGTTCTAAAAAAAATACAAAGAGTTGCTGTCATATTTGGGGAAGGGAAATCCAGCAGCGTCCTTAATGTTTAGCTACCTACCTACCTACCTACATGCCAAAGTGGCACAGTAGTTATAGAGTGCAGTAATGCAGGCTCCTTCTGCTGACTGCAATTTGGCAGTTCGAATCTCACCAGGCGCCAGGTTGACTCAGCCTTCCGTCCTTCCAAGGTCGGTAAAATGAGGACCCAGATGGTTGGGGGCAAGAGGCCGACTCGGTAAACCGCATAGGGAGGGCTGGAAAGCAGTATATAAGTCGGAGGGCTATCTTCCTTCCCAGTGGTTACAATGCAGTATTTGCAAGCTAACTCTGCCCACTGTCAGGAGTTCGATCCTGAACAACTGGCTCAAGGCTGACTCGGTCTTCCGTCCTTCCAGGATTGGTAAAACGAGGACCCAAATTATTGGAGGCAAAAGGCTGACTCTGTAAACCACTTAGAAAGGGCTGTGAAGTAGTATATAAGAGCTATTGCTATGTCTGCCTCTATCTGTCTGTCTATATCTACGGTACCTATATACCGTATCTATCTTTCTCTTTTCCTTCCTTCCTTACAAAAATCCTTTGTCCAAAAAGACAAAAGCTTATGTTTAGCTGGTTAATTTAGAATTTAAACTCAAACGCTACGCCTGCTAGTATTTTACTGTTCTTTTTTTCCCTCATTTTATTAAAGGCTAACCCAACCACAGATAGGAGGGATACTGCAGTGTTTATGCCAAACTTTCTGGTTTTCTTCAGATAAGAAGGTAGTCTAGCAATCAACTGGGACCAGCCAGTCCTTTGCCTTTTAATTTGGATTTAAGCCCAGGATTGTAGAGGTAACTTTTTAGCCTTACGGGCCTCTCTTTTCTCTTGTAAGCAATGAGCCTTTCTGTATATTTCTTTTTTTAAAAAAAAAAAAGAACCGATATCTTGGCAAGAAGGAAGTGGTGAAATCAGATCCCCCAGATCAATTCAACATTAGATAAGTTTGGGAAGTGTTGCTCAGTTCTTCCCCAGGGATCTTTTTCCCAGATAAGAGGTTTTAAGAAACAAAAAATCCTCAGTATATTTTTTAAAATAAAAGTTTTCCTCCTTGTTCCAAGGTTTGTTCCAGTTAGCCTTCTGTCACCCCCACAACATTTAAAAAATAATAATATGGGGAAAAAACAAATCATAGAAACTTTAATAGACTTGTTTTTCTGGTTTCCCCATTTTTTTTTTCCTGGTTGCTTTTTAAACTTATCAGTTTTTGTTAACTTTTCCTACACTAATGAGAGAAATCCTCCTCAGGAACAGTTTAGTCAGGTGGGAACCCACCCAACAACCGCATTCACACTTCATACAAAATCGTGGCTTAGGGCAGAGGTCTCCAAACTTGGCAACTTTACGATGTGTGGACTTCAACTCCCAGAATTCTCCAGCCAGCAGAGTGAAGTTTGGGGGCCTTTGGCTTAGGGAGTTATGTGAACCAGTGCAAAGATGGCAGGCGGTTTTCCTGCATCCATGTAGCTCCCACCTCAACATATGGCAAAATTTTATCTCGTAGAAGAGGCTCCTCGCCTCATTTCTTTCCCATTGGACATCTCAATTCTAATAAAAAGGATTAGTTTAGGAATTTCGGGCTGTGAAATTCTTCGGAAACAAGCTCAGGCCGCCAGCAGAAAGAAACACCAGCCAAAGTTAGTGGTAAAACAAACTCTGAATTTATTGAAAAGCTGAATTTAAAAAAAAAAAAAATGAAAGGGTCATTGGTAAGTGACCAGGTTTAAAAAAAAAAAAAAAAAGAATGTAATCTCTAGCTCTGGAAGAGAGAAGTAACTGGAAAAGTTTGCAAGAACATTTTTGCATCGGACAAACCAGGGCGTGTGACCTCATCAGCCATCCAACTCCTGCCAAAACTTCTCACCAAGGGCTCCTCTTTCAAAAGGCAGTTCCTGGCCCTGCAAGACCGGGCATTTTTAATTTTTTTTTTTTTGGGGGTGGGGTCAACATTTTGTGCAAAAACCAAGTTTTTGGAGAGTCCATTTCTTCCTAAAGAGGCCAGCTCTTTCGGAGGCATTCGAAGCCTTGAAACCTTACAACCACCTCAGCTCAACCAGTGAGTGAGTCCTAAGTACCTTTGAGCAGTATAAAATACAAACCTCACACACACACACACACATCATCATCATCATCGAACTGCGCCATTGCCAGAATCGTGCCACTGTTCATTCCTCATTTGCTGTGGCCATCATCAGTTGGCCAAGGAATCCTCTCCGGGGACTTCCAAGCAGGACCTCCTGGAATAAGGACTTCCTCTCACCATTCACACCTGGGACGCTTAAAAAGCAGTCCAGCCTCGTTTCATGCCAGGTGTGGAAAGGCCCACCTGCCCCATCCTAAAAGCCAGGGAGGAAGACTCGAAGGGGAGGGTCTCTCCCCTACTGGCGGTTATCCTTGGAGACGTTATGGGCCAGCCAGTTGACTTTGGTCTTCCAGCTCTCGCGAAGGGCCTCGTTGAACTTAAGATGGAATTGCTTCCGGGCCTCTTCATCCGTCTTCCCCAAGGCCAAGGAGTCCTGAAAGGCGTAAAGGAGATCCTTAGGAGGAAAATATCTCTTCACCTAGGTTTTATACACGTAAGAATAGGATAGCGCAGAGCGGAGCAGAACAGAACATGGAATAGAATAGAATTAGAATAGAATAGAATAGAATAGAATAGAATAGAATAGAATAGAATAGAATAGAATAGAATAGAATAGAATAGAATAGAATAGAATAGAATAGACTAAGAGTTGGAAGGGACCTTGGAGATCTTCTAGTCCAACCCCCTGCCTAGGCAGAAAACCCTACACCCCTTCAGACAAAGGGTTATCCAATCTCTGCTTAAAAACCTCCAGTGTTGGAACATTTACAACTTCTGGAGGCGGGTTGTTCCATTGATTCATTGTTCTCACTGTCAAATTTTCTCCTTAGTTCCAGGTTGCTTCTCTCCTTGACTTTCCATCCGTTGCTTCTTTTTCCTGCCTTCTGGGGCTCTGGAGAATAGCTTGACTCCCTCTTCTTTGGGGCAGCCCCTGAGATATCGGGACACTGCTATTGTGTCACCCCTACTTCTTTTCATCAAACTAACCATTCTGTAACCATTCTTCATGTGTTTTATTCTCCAATCCCCCTGATCCTCTTTGTTGCTCTTCTCTGCACTCTTTCTAGAGTCCCCACATCTTTTTTACATCGTGGCAACCAAAACTGGATGCCGTATTCCAAGTGTGGCCTTATAAAATGGCATGAACACTTCACGCGATCTTGATTCTATCCCTGTGTTTATGCAGCCTAGGACTGGGTTGGCTTTTTTGGCAGATGGAAGCAGGAGGCAGGCTGGAAATATCATCTCTTCTTCTTCCTTCCTGCCTCCCTTCCGATGTATATATAATGTCTCTTGCAATCGGCAGAAATCCCTATCCCCCCCACCCCTCCATCTCAGGCCTATATAATTACACGTGGTCTAGCAAAATGGTCTTCAAACCCAGGAGTCATTTGCAATCTAGTGGAAGCAGCCAAACAGCTGGGAACTGCAAGGGTCAAGCCTAACATCTGGTTCTGCAGCAGATGCTTCCTCCTCCTCCGGCTTCTGCCACGCCACATCCCGGTGCCAGTTACTGACTTAGAATTGGGTGGGATTTGACCGGTTCGGACCGGATTGGGCAAACTGGACGTTAAATTTGCATCTGGTTCGCCCAAACCAGTATTTGAACCGACTGGCTGACCCCACTCCCCACAATCCTCCCAGGAGTCTTATTCCCGCGGCCCATTTTCGATGCAGGTAAGTACAGGGTCTGCACGGAGGCTCGGGGGGGGGCGAAAATCAGGCCTGTTTCCAGCTTCCAGAGGGCCTCCAGAACCTGAGAGAGGCCCTTTTTGCCCTCCCAGAGACCTGAGGGAAGCCCCCAGACCCTGGGGAAGGTGAAAAACAGCCCTCCCAGAAAGTTCTGGTAGGGCACGCCCACCATGGCCACACCCACCCAGCAACCTGGCAGAGAACCGGTTGCTTGTGGGATTTTGGAACCCCACCCCTGCCTAGAATGTTTCCATACCATGAGAGGCTCCTTCCAATCTTCACGGTGTTCAGAAACATTTGACTCTTTGGAAGTTCTTCTGGGTCGAGTCCTCGTTTTTATCAATCTTGGAAGATTTACCAACCTTGAGCCAGTTGGTCAGGATCGAACTCCTGACAGTGGGCAGAGTTAGCCTGCAATACTGCATTCTAACCACTGGGAAGGAAAGGAAGGAAGGAAGGAAATGAGAGGAAATAAGGAAGACAATGAGAAGAACAGAAGGAAGGAAGGAAGGAAATGAGAAGAAATAAGGAAGACAATGAGAAGAACGGAAGGAAGGAAGGAAGGAAATGAGAGGAAATAAGGAAGACAATAAGAAGGGAAGGAAGGAAGGAAGGAAATGAGAGGAAATAAGGAAGACAATAAGAAGAAGGAAGGAAGGAAATGAGAGGAAATAAGGAAGACAATGAGAAGAACGGAAGGAAGGAAGGAAGGAATAGCCCTTCTTAGACTTAAATACCGCTTCACAGGGCTTTGCAGCCCTCTTCAAGCAGTTTACAGAGTTGGCTTCTTGCTCTCAACAATCTGTGTCCTCCGGAAGAGATTTTGTCTGTGAACCCACTCAACCCTTTTCTTCCTCACCTTGAGATACTGGATGTCTTTGGAGCAGCTCAACTCTGGCAGGCCAGCAGCTTTCATCAGGGAGAAAAGGTGCAAGAAGAGAAGGCCATGGCCTCGGAGGATCATGTAAGCCCTTTCACAGTAATCTCTGAATCTTAAGAAGGGGAAAAAGAAACGGTCACTTTGGGGTAACACCAGCTGTACGTTGACTTGACTTGAACTCTTATTTGGCTTTATAAGTCTGATTCTACACCCGAGAAATTGGTCTCCGGGGGGGAAAAAGCACTCTGTGTACATGCAAAGCCACAAGAATCGTCAACATCGTATCAATAAAAAGGAGTAAAGAAGACAGTAAGAAGGATGAGTAATAACGCTACGTGGATAAAAGGGCAAGTTGAGAACAAAGAAGCGCATAGCTGCTGACGTTTTACCCTTTGACACCAAGTCTCCCATATATGACCAGCCATTTCAGAGCCTCCATCCCTACACTCACCTTTCAAACTTCTCGCTGTTGCTGGTTTTCCCCTGCTGGATCACGTGGACGAAGTCATAGGTCAGAATGAAAGGGACCCTCTCGCGGTTGATCCCAAATTTGGTCTTGAAGTTCCCCAGGAAGTGGCCGAAATCAATATGGAACAACTGCCGAGGGAGGTGGAAGGGAAGGAAAAAAAAAACGTTTTTAAAATTCTCACCTTGCAAATCCAGCAGTGCTTTTATTTAAAACAAAAAGGAGCCGCATGCATATCAAAGACTTCTCAATCAAAATTCTGTGTAATACTAGCTTGATACCTGTGCTTTGCTACGAAACTAGGTGGGGTCAGGCTTAGTTTTGGGGGAGGAAAATAAGGGGTGGGGGGGAAATTGTGCCTTTGCCTACCAGCATCCATCAGTATTCATCTGGCTAGTGTCCTGTCAGTATGGGAGAGAGTGGAGGGCTGTGAGGAAAATGAAACCATATTTGCTGTGTGAGCAAGAAGGAAACAGCAAGGAGCCTGGGCGTGGCTTAGCTCAACTGTTCCGTACTAAAGCTGCTTGGTGATCTGAAACTGAAACTGAAACTCCTCTCCTCTGCTTGTGTTTTGCACTTCGAAGAGATTTCTTTTCAGGTGGGCAGGGGGAGTAGAACTCCTTAGCATCAGAGCGTGTTAATAATAATAATATAGGAAATAATCATGCTCTGATGGTCATTTCAAAAAACCCTTTCTTAGTCAGCCCCTAGAAGCCAAGAGGACCATAGGTGAATTTCAAGCTTGTAGGCTTTACGGTTCTGGAGATTTTGTGATGGTGCGCGAGTGGTCTTTCGCTTTTATGTATATAAATTTAGAAACAAGACAATTTACAATACTGGACATCGCAAATGTGAGTAAATTGTACAACTTGGACAACATTAACCAGCTCGTTGGATTTTTTTAGATTATAAAGCAATATGTAAAGCGGTATATAAGTCTTAAAGTGCTATTGCTATATCCACCAATCTAACCTAGGTCCTTACGGAATAAAAAGAGAACTAACAAGGAAGGGTCAGCTATCATGATCCCAGAATACCTGTCCATTCTCTCGCACCATGATGTTGTCGCTGTGACGGTCCCCAATCCCCAAAACATACGTCGCCACACAATATCCGGCACATGAGAGCGTGAATTCCTCAATGGCTTGCTCCAGAGCATCACTACACAAGAGAGGAGGAACAGGCTGATGAAGGAAAAAGTCAACTTGCCTCTTTTGCAAGGCAGCTTAAAAACTCACCCTGTGGTACCCTTTCAAAGCAGCAATGGCCAAAAAAAAGCCAAGATCGAATTTATTTTAAGCTCCGCTGTCCTTAATTCTTATGGTTTTTAAGAAAGATAATTCATCTAGTTAAGCATCTGAAGGCCTCAGAAGTTTCATGAGAAGATCTACTTAGAGCAGGGGTCTTCAGCTTTAAGACTTGTGGACTTCAACTCCCAGAATTCCTCCTCCAGTCATGTTAGTCCAGGAATTCTGGAAGTTGAAGTCCACAAGTCTTAAAGCTGTCAAGTTTGAAGATCCCTGCTCTAAGTAGATCTTGCCAAATCATTGAAGATCTGGGTACCAACCAGTCAAAAACATGTCCACTTTCCATGTGTCTTCTCAAACCAGAAGATCTTCCCCTCTATTCCTTTCAGCTAAATTAGTTGAGTAGATAATGGCCAATGGACAGGACCTTATTTCTGAGTAACCTTTATCCATCCGGTCTCATCTTCATCGTCTTTTCAAGCCTGGGTTTGTTTAGGACCCCCTTTTATTCTGAGCCTCTTTGTTCAAGATCTGATCCCAGCGTCGGCCATGCTAGTGGAGATTACTGGGAGTTGTAGTCCCAACCCATCTAGAAGGCCTGGGGCCTTCCTTAGAACATACCCGGGATTTTTGGATTTCAGCCAATTCAGGAGGGCATCCTTGTTGAAAGCGGCAGTGGCCGCCATGTTGCTCTTGTTGAGTTGAATGTTGGCGATGGTGTCTGAATTCATCACCACTTCGATCAGCCCCATCTTGTCTCCCGTGGAAAGGCAGCCGTAAGGGGTCATCCTTCAGAGGAGAGAGAGGAAGAGAGAGAGGGATCATCAGATCCTGCCCTGGTGGGGTGAAACGTGAGGTGTCGGGAGGGTGCCGACACCTCCACCAAGCCCAAATAGAGATCAAACTCATGCGAGCAAGCTTGGTGTCAGGACTCCTCCATTCAAATCATAAGTCTCTAGCCGCATCTATCAGAGTAAAAAAGATTTGATTTATTAGGAGTTGACATGTTGGCGTTTCCCGATTGCAGCCGACTCTGGCACATCCTTCATTTCACCCTTGACCCTGGTCTTCCCCCCACCCCCTGGATGTATATTCTCCAATGAGACACATCCATAGCCAAGAGCCATCAATCATGCTCTCCAGTAATAATCTTGCGTGCCAGAAGCTTCGGTTGCCAAAGCGATTATCTGAAGCATTTAAGGAATGCACTGCTTTCCCCCGCTCCCTTTCTGCTGGCAATTCAAAAGACCAAAGGAGTATTTTTTTAGTTGACACTTGGAAGAAGGATCAGGTGAAGATCAAAGAGAGGGAAAGGGAAGTCTTCATCGGAACTTATGGGAATTAATGGATGGAAGAGAAGACTGTAGAACAGGGGGGTCAAATTCAATTTCATTGAGGGCCACATCAGGCCAGCTTGATGTCAACTCATGTCAGGGGGAACCTGTGGTAGCCTGAATGCTCTGACAGCGAAAATGGACTCCTGAGCTCGGTTTTTAGCCGTGACAGCCTCCTGCAGTCCTCTGCCAGCGAAAACGGAAACCGTCATGGCTAAAAACGGAATCTGGGAGGGACGTGCATAGGTCTCCCGAGCTCCGTTTTCACTGGCCGAGGCACGGCGGGCCAATCCTTTGCTGTTTCCTGGGCAGCCCATCGGGCCAGATCTGGCTCGCGGACCTTGAGTTTGACCCCCCTGCGGTAGAAGAAACAGGATGGAGAGGGTTCATCAGCACCCTTCCAGGCTTGCATGGCAGCCGCAGAAAGCGAAGTATGAAGTTCTGTGGGGCAGCTTACCCCCAAGCATCAACTCACCTCAAGTCGAGACCTTCTTGCTTCCATAAGATATCCATGAGTTGGATCATTTGGAGCGTCAACATATCCTGGCGAAGATCTGCCGAATAGGGAAAGGTTGATTTGGCCCTTTGTCTCTGGCTGTCGCTGGCTGTCGCTGGCTGTCTGTCTCTCTGTCTCTCTCTCTGTGTGTCTCTGTCCCTGTCTGTCTGCGTCTATCTGTCTCTCTCTCCCTCCCCCTTCTCTCTATCCTACAACCCTCAACTTTCTCCAACCAGAAATCACAGGGATGAAATCCTGTCCATCCATCACCCTGGATTTTTCAGCTGGACCACAAGGGGGGCGCTTTGGCTAGGCAGAACCAAGCAAAACTCTGCCACTAATGTGGAGATGGATCTGATAACGTTAGCTAGTTTGGTAATGAAACGTCTCAGGAAAATAAGCTCAGAGCGTGCCAAGGACCCCTGGAGGCAGAATTCTTTGGCATTACTTAAAGTCCCCTGCAGCCCTTATCGTCTCACCCATATTTTTAATGTTTTTCTCTCTCCTTGGAGCCGAAGTCTTTATGGAAGAAGATGGGCCCACCTCCTCTTTTAATTTAAGAAAAACACTGAACACCCACTCTGAGGTAGAAGCTTCCTTTTAAACCTTCACTGTAGTGGAAGTAGAAAGTGACCTCATCAAACCGCGTGTGAGGCCATCTACCCTGACCCCTTGTACACAGTCTCTTGCTAACCAAAAGCTGGGTTTGTTGCTCTCTCTTACCGTCCCCGTTTTTGAATATCAAGCCAGTGCTGGGTCCTCCCGCCTCGCCGTTGTTAAACATAATCCACAGCGGTTTCATCTTGGAATCCATGACGGTGCAAAGCTCTACACTGAAAAGAGGCACATACAAAAAATGTGTGCTTGTGTGTGTGTGTGGAGAGGGGTGGTGGTGACACACAACTCAAATCCCTAATTAAAAGAGGGCGGAAATATCCTTGCCACTCCTTAAACTGGAGAACTGACCTAAACACACACATACACACACGCTAACTTTGAAGTGAAATCAGCATTTCTCAACCTTGGCCATTTTAAGTGGGGTGGTGGACTTCCAACTCCCAGAATTCCCCAGTGGGGTTGTAAACAATAATAGAATACTTGATTGGCCAAGTGTGACTGGATGCACAAAGAATTTGTCTCTGGGGCAGAAGTGCTCAGATGCCACTGGAGCTTTGCTGGCTGGGGAGTACTGGGTGTTGAAGTCCACCCCTCTTAAAATTGCATAGGTTGAGAAACACTGAGTTAAATCAGTCACTATTATGAGGTGGTAGTTCTCTAAATTCGAATGAATGAATGAATGAATGAATGTTTCTGCTATTTCTCCCTCTTTCCTCATTCACCCCAACTTCATCTCAACACTGCAATGCCCATCAATTTTAGCAGTTGCTAAAAAAAAATCATGACCCTTGACCAACATTAATTCTATCATTTAACCCAGCAAGACTGGGCTGGCCTTCTCACAAGATCCTATTCATTTTCAGGCCCATCCTGAACCATCCGTTCCCCCCTGCCTTTCTCCAGCGCTCTTACCTGACTCTTGCCAGGAAGATTCGGGGATCCAGAGGGGACTGGAGATGGGAGAGGGCCTCCAGGTAGGTCTCTTGGCGCATACAGGTGTGCATGAACTCCTTGGTTTGAGGTTTGGTGTTTTTTTGAGCGCTGACTTTGATGAGGTCATTGAGGGCCTTCAGCTTGTTGAGGGCTTCGCTCTTGAAGCCGGAGAGAGAGAGAGAAAGTTAGGTCAACTGGATCCCACGGGGGGCTCGCGAAGACAATCCTCTCGAGGTTGGACATAATAATAGAATACTTCATTGGGCAAATGTGATCAGACACACAAGTTCTCAGAAGTTCTCAGATACCACTTGAGTTGAATCCGGAGGGAGACAGAAAGTTAGATCACATGGAAGTTAGATCAGTGTAAATAGAACTGAACTGAATTGAATTCTTTATTGGCCAAGTGTGATTGGACACACAAGGAATCTGTCTTGGTGCAAATGCTCACAGTGTAAAAAGAATAGAATTGAATAGGAACCAAAGCAGTTCAATTAGATTCCGAGTCCTCCTTGAAGCTCTGTGTATGCTGGTCGTTGTTTTCTGGTACTTTGGGTGGTTTCTGTTACAATTAATTTGGATCCTTCTGTTTTTGGCAGCATTCCACAGCACTGGCAGGTGTGTGCTTATCTTGGGGAACTGTTTATAATTCGTTTGGCTGGGAATGCAAGTAATTCCCAGTGTTGCAATAAAATAGGTTTTGCTTTTAAAATAAGTTTGTGTTTTGAAGCCTGGGTCAGAACACTTACTTTCTCAGGCCAGGCGAGGAGTGATGGGGAGGGGAGGGGTGGGGCCAGCCAGTGGTGGGATCAGCCAACAGGGAGCCGCAGCAGAGGGCCAAAAGAGCTGCATGTGGCTCCAGAGCCGCAGGTTTGCCGACCCCTGCCCAAGACCACTCTCACTTCCCAAGGGAGCCTCCTTACCTGTTTCATTAGAGCTTTGATATGGTCAGCGTTTCCCCGGCAGTAGGCCTCGAGAATCAGGCCAAACCTTAAGGCAAGCGAAGGGAAGTGCATTTCCGATCTAACCACAGTTCAGTGTCGAAGGAGACATGGAACCCGAGCAAGAAAAAAAAAACAAGACAGAATTTTAATCCCGGGGGGAGTTACAATAGATTGCTACAACCCCTGGGCAGCTGTGGCTCATTGAATCTCTTCTTATCTCCCGCTCGTTTGACCTTTAGTAGTTCAGATTCGTGTAGGGAGCTTAAGCTTGCAATCAAGTTTTATACTCATTTGAACTGCCTGAATCTGAGGACAAGAAGCAAAGGGTGGAAACTAATCAAACAACTTAGAATTAAGGAGAAATTTCCTGACGGTTAGAACAATTTAATCAGTGAAACAACTTGCCTCCAGAATTGTAAATACTCTAAATGCTGAAAGTTTTTAAAAAGATGTTGGATAACCCTTTGTCTGAAGTGGTGTAGGGTTTCCTGCCTAAGCAGGGGAGAAAACCTCCAAGGTCCCTTCCAACTCTCTTTATTCTATTCCTGATTTCCCCGGGGGGCTTGACAAATTAGTGTACATATAAGTGACAATAAAGTTATTCTAAGTCTAATCAGCATATATTCAAATGAAATTCTGTTGCACACAGCTCTCAAAGGGTCACCACCTCCAATCTACACTGCCTAAACATGACAAAATAAATCAATGCAAAATGGTGTATATACCCACATATATAGTATATGACCCAGATAGTTATAGTTATTCTCAGTTAACTAAGCCTCCGTGTTCCAGGGCAGCCTATCTCCAAATCTCAGCTGCTCAGAAGTGAATATAAGCAAAGAGCTGTGGATGGATGGATGGATGGATGGATGGATGGATGGATGGGAGAGGGAAATAAATAGATGGATGGGGTGTCCGTCGTCATTTCCTCAAAATTTCCAATCCCAGAGAACGGGCCGTAAACCCACCTTGCTTCTCCCAAAACCTCTTTTCTCACCTGAGATGCCAGAAGAGGAAATGGCCGACCTTCCGGTTGGATAAGGCCCTTCCCAAAAGGAACTTGGTTAATTCACAGTCTAAGTAGGACTGGTATTTCAAAACCTGAACCAGCTGTAAAAGATACTGGAACAATTCGGCATCCCTGCGGGGGGGAGAGCAGAGGGTTAATCGATGGCTCCCTCACTTGCGTAGCCATTCGGACAACCCATGTTTAACCCCCAGGGAATTATCCTGCTTTTTTTTTCTGGGTTTCCAGGTTTAAACTAACCACGATCCAGGTTTAAACTAACCCATCTTGGCCAGTTGAGGGAAAGGAGCTGTCAGATCTTTAAAACAACCGGGTTAAGCAGCTGAACTAGATCTCTCTCTTTAGAGGATTGGTTTGACTCCCATCCTGGGGACAAGGATGATGAGAGTTGTACTCCAATCTGCCTGGGGAGGGCCACATTCAGGGGAAGGCGAGTTCAACAACCTCCTTTTCCATCCCCTCATTCGCAATTTAATCTCACCCTGTGTTGTGTCACGTACTTTTTGGCCCTGTTTTTCTCAACAGCAAAAAGATACCAAGGCACAACGAACCTAGCTTGATAACGATATTTTTTCAATCTGGGCAAATTTTAACCTGGGAGTTGAAATCGACCCAACTCGCAGAATTCATGGCTGGCTGGGGAATTCTGGGAGTCGAAACCCACTGTCAACTCATAAAATATTTCTGTGGTCTTTTTAGAGTTGCCAACAGCAGGGGAGGGGGAAGCAGTGCAGCAGCTTGCATTCCATAAATGTTTTCAAAGATAGTTTCTAGGTGACCGAAGTTTCTGCCGTGCAAAATTCCAACTGGAGAGCCTGAGGGATGACTCTTGGCTACGGATGTGTCCCATTGGAGAATATGAATTAGAATACACCCAGGGGGTAGAGGAAAACCAGGGTCAAGGGTGACAATTAACGATGTGTGCCTCAGAGTCAGCTACACCCAGGCAGTGCCGCATCTTTTAACTCCCAATAAATCCTTTTGGAGTTTGGCTAGAGACTCATGATTTAAATGGGGTTAAGTGTCGGAATCCTGACACCCACCCAATCTTAAAATCGTCCGAGGTTGAAAAACAGCGCCCTGGGTTGAAGTTTGTCCCCCTTTTTAAAATTAAAACCCGAAATGGTATTACAGCAGAGCTGCAGTATTTCCTCTGCAGTATTTCCTCTACAGCCTCTTCCTTTCCTTTCTCTTCCTCACCCCATCCCTCTCGGCTTTCTCTTCCTCTTTGAGAGAGATGAATTTTAACTCACGTCAGCTTTTTCAGGGAGTTGACGGTGAAGCGGCTCACGTGAGGGTCAGGGAAATTGAAATCCAAAAGCTCCAAGGCGTTGAGAACAGGCAGCTCGGGCCAGGATTGCAGCAAAAATATCATCTGCAAGAAAAAGCACAGGATCAGCTCTGGATCAGGCCACCTTTGGGTCGTCCCTGCCTTCCATCGGAAGAGCACTGAAGGTAACGCTGCCCTGGTATACTGCCCCTAAATAAGGAGGCTTGATTTAACAGCCTGGCCTATACAGGTAGTCCTCAACGTATGGCTCCAATTGAGGTTGCTCAATGAAACAAAAACAAAAAAGCATCTTTGGGACACTTTTGCATTACTATTTTTATTTTATTTTTTGCATTTTAGTATTTAATGACTACGGGCCTCAGAGTTTATGGATTGATAGTATAGTTAGGCCACGTGTGACTGATGGACTGGATACCAAATGGTGATTGTAATATAGATTTTATCTTGTTATTTATTATTTTATTCTAGAACCTTTTAACTGGATAGGCATTGAGTGTTTTTATTCGTTCTGGTCTTTGACCGTAATAAACTTGATTTGGGTTAACAGCAGTTAACAATCCAGGAAAGAACAGGCACGCTATTTTGGTGAATTTGGGGCAGGTTTCTAGACAGGTTTCTAGAAGTTAGGATTTAATTGCTTGTCATCCCCGGCTAAATATTTTATCCCCGGCAGATCTTAACTAAAATTCTCACCTGGGCAACATCCTCGTGTTTATTCCACTTGGTTACCATAAGCAGTTTAGCCAATGCTCCCGGATATTGATCCCGGATCTGGTACCTCATCTTCCACACCAAATCTTTCTCGTGTTCATACAGTTCGATGCAGGATCTCCGTTCCAGGATCTCCTTCAGCTGCTGTTTCTAAACGGATCACAAGGTGGCAGTTAAGAGCAAGACAGAAAGCTAACAATTATGCCACTATAAAAGGAGCAAGTTAAATATATTTATAGGAAGGCTTTTTGAAAAGGGGACGGATGGACGAGAGAAGATCTGTCTTTGTGGGTTTTTTGCAGGCTTATGGGGAAAAGAAAATGGGGGGGAAATTGTTTGTTTTCTGTCTTGCTTCAGGGATAGCAAAATGAGCCCCCCCCCAATAATGGAATGTGCAGAAATGAGTAAATTGACATTCGAAATTAGAGAGCAAGAAGATAAACAATATTATGAACTATGGGATTTATTTTATCAATGGCTAGATAAGAAAATAGGGAAATAAAATACATTATAATATACAATATAATAGTAAAGAGAAGACAATGTAATGATATGTTATCATTGAATATAATGATTATAATGGAACGTATGATAATATAAATTAGATTTTGTAAAAGTTAAATTTTGCTCAAAAAGGATGATGTGAATTTATAATTATAGTCTAATAAGGAGATAATAACAATAAATATAATATGCATAGCTGATTTTTATATGTAGTTTAATCTAAACCAGAAGAGAGAGACTGTTGATATTGTGTTGATACTGCATGTAACGGAAAGATGGTTTTATTTGATGGTTTATGTTTGTATTTGTTAATGTTTGTTGTCTAAATAAATAAATAAAATTAAAAAGAAAAAAAGAAATTAAAATGGGGCCCAAAAGGGGAAGCCTGCATGACAAAAGCGGTGAGGTTTACAGTCATTTAGTTCAGGAGAGGAAAAGGAAATACATAAAAGTATCACGAAAGGGGTATAAAATTAAGCCTGGCGTGTTGAGTAGAAAAGATCTTTTCTATGGCAAAGAAGCGGTTTTTCAACCTTGAAGATGGGTGGGCTTCAACTCCCAGAATTCCCTAGCCACCAAGTCTATTCCTACAACTATTTTTTTTTTTAAAAAAAATTGCTTTTCTTTCCATCATGTTACTGGATTTAAATAAAAAAGTCTTTGAAGATCCAGTCTTGGCTTCTAAAGAGGGCATATGCTTGTCTCTTTTGCTTACTCCCTTCCAGCTCTAGTTATTCTTTTTTTCTAATTTAACCATCACAACCCGGGACAAGAATTTTCAATGCTGAGCAAGGCCATTGTTGAGATGATTTTGCCTGATTTTGCAACCGTTTTATTTTGCCGGGACGGCTAGAGAAATCACCGTTGTTAAGCAAATCACGCAGCCGCAAAGCGGTTGTATGAAGTGCCATGACGATAAAGTAAACTAAATGGATGGCTCTACCCCGAGGACTAACTCCATCCTCCTTGCACACCTCATTCCCATTTTAAGCAGAATATTTCTGCATGGCACCCCAGATACAGCTCAGAACATCCACCAGACTTTAAAAAACAAAACAACCAAGTTTGTTTCTTGCTGACCTCTTCTGGATCCTCTCCCGTACCGCAGGCACAATGGCCATTTTGCCCCTTTTCTAAGATCTGAAACGATAAAACACACACACACACACACACACACAAAAGTGGTAGTTGAACACTGTTCTCCCAAGAAAGATGGACTTCAAGAGAAAATGGCTTCAGTTATCAGCCTGTCTTCGTTTTCCCATCGTTTGGGGGGGCGGGGGGGCATTCCCCCGTTGGCATTTTTCTTGCTGAATCCCAATTGAGTAGCCTATGGCAAATTTCTTTGAAAACCCATCAAATTGTTCTTCAAAGACACCGCTAGTCCCGTCTCTGGGACTTGACAAGGAGGCCACATGGAATCGGTCGCTCCCGGATTAAAACTGACCAAGAGATCCACTTCCTTTCGGCTGATATTTTCTAGAAATCTTTCAATTTTTTTTAAAAAAAAGAGGTTGGAAGAAGAAGTAGGAAAAGGAGGAGGAGGAGGAAGAAGGAGGAAGAGGAAGGAGGAGGAGGAGGACTGATGGAAGGGATGAGGGGGAGAAGGAGAAGGATAGTGGAAGGAGGAGGAGGAGGAGGAGGAGGAGGAGGAGGAGGAAGAAGAAAAGAAGAAGAAAAGAAGAAAAGAAGAAGAAGAAGAAGAAGAAGAAGAAGAAGAAGAAGAAGAAAAGAAGAAGAAGAAGAAGAAAAGGAGGAGGAGAAGGGAAGGGAAAGGAAGGAAGGAAAGAGAAAGAAAGAAAGAAAAACAAAAAAGAAAGAAAGAAAGACAAAGAAAGAAAGAGAAAGAATCCCAAACAGATTTTCCACCATTCAACCTGAATACATTTGAATTTCGGATGGAAAAACGTGACGTGATGATGTGGATCCCTTTTGGGAAGGAAAGTACAACACCACCCCACCACCCCACACACACACACTGGGATCTTGTTAAGTTTGGGAACCAGAAGATCCAGATCTGATTCTGAGTGTCCCCGCGCCCTCTTTGCTTGCCTTTGGGGACAACCTCAACCCACAAACACCAAGAGAACCAAGGCAAATCGTCCCAGTGGCCCAGAACACATCCACAGCCCACAATGGATTGGACAGACTTCGCAACTCACAACAACCCAAAAACACAAAACAAGCAGCAGGGAACACATCAACACAAGCCTCACCTGTCTCATGGAAGGGTAGTAGATCGGGTACAACGAAATGCCGGGGAAGCGGATGAAAAGCGTGGCGGCACTCTCGGCATTGGGATTGGTCTGGATGGTGCCCGTCGGGTTCAACAATTCTCCTTTCTCATCTGCAAGGCAAAAGGGCTCTAGCTGCCAATCGGCTCCACTGGAACGCAGAGCCTCGCTTGGCTAGGTTTACTACTGGGCTGCCGTAAACCCGGCCTGCTGGAACAAACCACAATCGCCAGGGCATTTATCCCACCCGTGTCCTGCGTGAACTGGGCCTCCGCATCCGATATCGGCAAATTCCAGGATGACCGAGTCCACGCTTTGCAGTTGCACTTATCTGCAACTGGTTGAAAGTTGAGCTAAGTTGAGCCTCCCTATCCAAGAGCAGTCCTGCACTCTTCTAAACTACATGATCAAATGACACCCCCCCCCGCCCACAGCAGGGTGTCTACCCTGGTGGGTTATGGAAGACCTCCAGTTTTAAGACGAGATTAGACAAACTGTTTGTCTAAAATGGTGTAGGGTTTCCCTGCTTGAGAGCGGGTTGGACTAGAGGACCTCTGAGGTCCCTTCCAGGGGTGGGCTTCAAATTTTTTAGCAAGGGGCTCTCTGCCCTAATGACTGGCTGGGTGGTCATGTGACTGGGTGGGTGTGGTCAACTTGGTGTTGCTTCTTTGCCCTAATTTCCTAAACAAAAAGGATATATACCAAAAAGTCATTTATTATTTTGTGCATTTAATTTAATACTTAAAATAAAAGACTGGGTGAAACCAGGCTTACTAGCAGCAGCTGTGAGAGGGATTTTGGAGTCTTAAGTGGAGTTTCTGGTAAGTTACGTGATTCTTATTATTTGGGAATTAATCCCCTCGGAAGCTAGTGGCTCTGTGATCTGATTTTCTCAATGGCTCTCCCTGACAAGCGCCGAGTGGATTGTTTATCTAGCTTGCCATACTTTTACCAGGTATGAAATGCTTTTGGCTGAACGCCCAGAAGTTCAGTTAAGCCTGTTAAGAGCTTTCCCTTGCTGCTTGTCTTTCTGAGGTTATGGGGGGCCTCTCCGAGCCCCACAGAGGGGCTCGGGCAAGCCCCCAACAGCCCACCCCTGGCTCCCTTCCAACTCTTCTAATCTGGTGATTCTGTTTTTCTTATCTTTAAAACCCGCTTCTTGTCTTTTCTAGACCTTTTGGCTGGGCAGAAACCTGATGAGAATTAAATAATAGTGACGAAATTAAAGGAGTGGACTCGTCCCACTGGATGCCCTTCCTGTTCTCCGTGGAAAAAGAGAAGCAGGGCGGATTTATCCCACCTGGGAAGGCCGACCACATGGGTAAGACGCATTCTCCGGCTTTCAGCTGGTCTTGGTAGTCGAAGAGCATCACATTCACCCAAGCGAGCGGGCAGTCCTAGAGAAGGGAGGAAGGAAGAGGATGGCAGGGATGATGGGACGCATGGCGATAATGGGACTGCCAAGAACAGGGTGTCCTGAAGACAAGCCATGGCAGACCTTAAAAAAAAAAAAAAGCATTCATTTTTCAAAGCCAAACCTCATTTGGTCTGCCTTTTCGCTCCACTGCCTGCCTCCTGCTTGTGGTATCCTGCTTGAAAGGCAACTGTTAATCCGATTCAACGGGGATTTTAAAAAAAATAAACCCTTTGCAGTGTAAACAAAACATGTGTTCCAGCTACAAAGCACTGTTTTTGGGATGCTTCCATGCTTTTCCTTTCCAAAGGAAGCTGGCCAAGAAAGTCACCAAAGTGCCTTCACTTCCTTTTTCCTTCTACATTAATATTATTATTGGTTAATCTTTAGTGAGATTCACAGCCTTTGGGGCTGGTTGGTAGCTCAACATCTCGAGTCCTAACCAAGGACCTAGGAACTGTTCAGGTAGCGTCGGAGGATATAAGCTGTTCCAAGTAGGATGTTTTTTTTGTAGAATCAGGGTATTCAAGTCTGATAAATTCAGAATTTCCAAATAGCGAGGCAGCCCTTTAGGTATTGCTCCAAGGGCTCCAATTACAATTGGTTGTTGTTGTTATTATTATTATTATTGATCATCAACACAGCCGGATGTTCAGACTGGGTTGGGCAATGTTGTCTACCTATCGAGTCCTTACCAAGGACCTGGGATAGGCAGATCTGAATGTTTAATGGTGTTACAGATATTGTTGCAGGATTATTATTAGTAGTAGTATTGGTGTTATTATCTCTTTTATTCATTAAACATGAAACTCAGTCAACTGAAAGTTTAAAAATATATCACAAATATCACTGATTGGTGCTGATGGTTGATACAGGTTGCTGCCAGCATCCTAGGTATCAACTTAAGTATCTTCTTAAAATTCTTAAAATACTATTGTTGTTGTTGTTACATAATATTATTTATATTCTATAATAATATACATTATAGAGTTGAAGAGAAGGACCAAGGGAGACACGATAGCAGGGTTTCAATATTTGAGGGGCTGCCACAGAGGGGAGGAAGGGGTCAAGCTATTTTCCAAGGCACCCAAAGGCCAGACTAGGAATAATGGATGGAAATGGATCTAGGAGAGATTCAACTTAGAAATAAGGAGGAATTTCCTGAGAGTGAAGACAAATCCAATGGAAGAGAAGTTGCCTTTGGAAGTTGTGGGAGCTTCATCCCTGGAAGCTTTCAAGAAGAGGCTGGGCTGCCATCTGTCAGAAATGGTGTAGGGTCTCCTGCTTGGGCAGGGGGTTGGACTAGATGACCTACAAGATCCCTTCCAACTCTGTGTTCTGTTCCGTTCCGTTCCATTCTATTCTATTCTGATTTCTATCCTCTATAACTCTTGAGTGCTATTGCTATTCTACTCTACTCATTCTAATTCTCCTTCTTTCTTTCTCCTTTGAACTGGCCAGTGAGTCAGGGCAGCAAAAAAAAAAAACGGGCAACTAAGCAGAGAGCGGTGAGTAATTCGGTGGATGGACTCCAAAAAGCAGATGACTCGGCAAATTTGGGGGAAATGGGGAAAACAGAGGGCTGAGTGACTCAGCAAAGGATTCCGAAATATGACCATCATTGGCCCGATTCTAGGAAGTCCCAATGCCTTTCGTTCCCCCCCCGCTTCCCTCCCTCCCCGTTGCCTTTGGCAGCTGCACAGCCTGTGTCTGTTGGCACTTTCTCATGTTTCTACAACCGAGAAACACATCCCCGTTGCTGAAACGAAATCTTCTTTTTAACATCTGGAAAGAAACGGGGACTTTCTCAGAAAAGCAGCCGTTGTTTTTTTGTACAGATGTCCAAGAAAAGGAGGCCTCTGGAAGAATAAGCAGGCAGCCATGTGGGCCAATTCTCTCTTTTTTCCCCCCCCCCCCCCCCGGTCCCAATTCAGGGTTTGTGAGATGAACGTTTAAAGCCCCCAACGTAACGGAGACTCTGGTCTGGGTCTCTTCTAAAGCTTTTGTTTTGCTTTTGTTTTTTGCTGGCAAAGAATGGTGCCACCACAATAGGGCCAAGAGACTTACTGCTTTTTTGGATTTCTTCTTGGTGGACCTGGCTTTTTTGGCTTTTTCCACCACCGAGTAGAGGACTAAGCAGAGCCGAGCCATGCGGGGCAAGTCGCAGACATGAATGTCAAATTTTAACGTCTGATCCCACGTGGGCTCGGAGCAAACATTGGCTTCGGTGCTGGTCATCATTTTGCAGAGCATTTCATGACCGTGGTAGAGCCCGGCTTGCACGACCAGCTGGAAAAAAAGGAGATAAATGGGAGAAGGGAGAAAGTTTATCCAGCCCAAGGAGCTGCCGATCCAGTTCTACAGAGGAATGATTGAGTCTATCATCTGCACCTCTATAACTGTCTGGTTTGGCTCTGCAACTCAACAGGACAGACACAGACTCCAGAGAGGAATTAGGACTGCAGAAAATAGCAATTGCTACCAACCTGCCTTCCCTGGAGGTCCTGTATCCTGCACGAGTCAAAAAGAGGGCTGTGAAAATATCTACAGACCCCTCACATCCCGGACATAAACTGTTTCAACTCCTTCCCTCAAAATGACGCTATAGAGCACTGCACACCAGAACAACTAGACACAAGGGGAGTTTTTTTCCTCCATGCCATCACTCTGCTAAACAAATAATTCCCTCAACACTAACCATTTACTAAGTCTGCACTACTATTACTATTAACCTTCTCATCACTCCTTATCACCCCTCCCACTTGTGACTGTAACTTTGTCGCTTGTATCCTTACTATTTATATGGACTGTTTCCTGGTATGATTTGATTGCTTATTGTACCCTGTGACTATCATTAAGTGTTGTACCTGATGATTCTTGACTCTTGATGAATGTCTCTTTTATGTACACTGAGAGCATTTGTACCAAAGACAAATTCCTTGTGTGTCCAATCACATTTGCCAATAAAGAATTCTATTCTATTCTATTCTATTCTATTCTATTCTATTCTATTCCATTCCATTCCATTCCATTCCATTCCATTCCAATTTCTATTCTTATTCTTATTCTATTCTTTCAGCCCCAAATGAATAGCTCCCCATCTGCGGATGGAAACCAGGAAGTCTCAGATCTGTGGGCCAGGGGAAGGATGTCCAAACACACTAGCTGTTACAGACGGCCCTCAACTTAACAACAGCTTATCGAGAGATCATTCAAAGTTTAACCACGGCACTGAAAAAAAAGTTCTTCTTCTTCCTTTTTTTTTTGCAGTGTTCCCCGCAGTCGCGTGATCAAAATTCAGATGCTTGGCAAACTGACTCGTATTTACAACGGTTGCAGTGTGTGATTCCCCTTTTGGCGATCTTTCTGACATGCCAAGTCCGCCCCCCAACAACCCTGTGAGGTGGGTTGGCCTGAGAGAGACTGGCCCACCCAGCTGGCTTTTCCTGGCTAAGGCAGGACTTGAACTCATGGCCTCCCGCTTTCTAGCCTTGTACCAAACTAGGCTCTCTGATTACCTTAATGGTTCTTTTCTAAGAGATCAGAAACGACAATATAATACGTGTTTGAATGTCCTCTTTGCTATTCCAGTTAATGTCTTTATCTTATCTTATAATTATATAATAAATATCCTATAATAACCCCGGTCAGTTTGCAAGGAGGGCTCAAAATAATAAACCAGAAGCAACCTCGCTCCAATCTGATCAATGCAATTTGGAAATTTGCCCTAAATTCAGGAAGGAAATAACATCTTAAGTATGATCTGCAAAAAAAGGAAGCAATTAAAAAAAAACCCTTGTGGTTCCTTATTTCCTTCTACCCCCTAATTTCTCCATTTAAAAAAAAAAAAATTTTCCCCCAGAACTATAAAGTCAAGAGATGTTCAACCTCCTCCGTTTTTTTTAATTTATGTGCAAAAAGCTGCATTTTAGCGTAAGTGGAAAGGAAGGAAAACTTTTTCAAAAAACAAAAAACAAAAACCATAAACAGTTTCTAAGAAGTTCATTTCTGGCTAATCAACACTGCCATCCTGACTTCCTGTAATGAGAAGTTTTCGACCGCCAAATTGTAGAATTGAATGAAAGAGTTTCAGAAAGAAAAAGGAAAAACAACAGTTGCATGATTTCGAGCTTGACAATCGCAGGTTTGGTTACCAATGCAAGTCGTAAACAAATCCTGAGTGGGAAGGTAGAAAGCCACAGAGCATCTAGTCGAAAGAATAAGAGAGAGAGAGAAAGAGAAAAAATAAATGTTTGGTTTAAGGTGACTTACTTTCATTCCTTCGTCGGCGTTCACCTTGCTGCAATGCAGGAGTTCAATACAATACGGCTGATCCAGGGACCACAGAGATACACAGGTCAGCTAAGCACAGGAACAAGGGGAAGAAAGAAACGGTGAAGTTGGATTTCATGGCTAATTTTGGCATTTGACCCACCCAAAAAAGGATATATAACCAGCCCCTGGTATGCTATTTAAACTTCGCCTGCAAAGATAGATTTGTCTTATAAAGTCAGCTTTGAATTACAACCATCCTTCCTATCTCCCCAACACCCCTACGAGGTAGGACACTTTGCACAAAGGTTGGGAACTGGAGAAAGAAGCACTGAGGATGAAGTGGGGAGGGCAGACACCATAATTCCAACCAAAGGACTCTGTACCAGCCTACCAGGGATCTGCTTCGTTTCCAATAATAATAATAATAATAATAAATAATAATAATAATAATAATAATAATAATAATAATAATAATAATAATACATTTCAATCAATCAATCAATCAGAATATTCAATTGTTCGTGTATTAATTTGCAGCTAGAATTGCAGTTGCTCAAAATTGGAAAAAGCGAAAAAATTCCTACTAATGAAAATGTGATTAGGAAAATATTAGAATGTGCAGAAATGAATAGATTAACCTTTGCAATTAAAGAGAAGGAGCAAACTGAATATTACAAAATATGGGAATTATTTTAGCGATGGCCAGAGGAAAAAAATATGAATGGTAGAAATAGCGAAGAGATTAATGAAATATAGAAAATAGGTTTATGGAATTAAACGTGCTAAGAAGAGGAGCGTTACAGTACTAGAGATATTATGTATATTAGTAGGATAAGAATGAGATAAGAATAGAGAATTAATACCAAAGTAACGAGCATGGATGTACATTTTAATAGTTATGGCACAAGATATTTGTACCCGACAACACACCGTTAAATGGAAGATGAATTGTATGCACCTTAAATAAAAATTTAAAAACTAATAAAAAAAAAAGAATAGAGCTGGAAGGGACTTTTGGAGGTCATCTAGTCCATCCCCCTGCTCAAGCAGGAGACCCTACATCATTTCAGACTGGTGGCTATCCAGTCTTTTCTTAAAAACCTGCAGTGATGGAGCCCACAACTTCTGGTGGCAAGCTGTTCCACTGGTTAATTGTCCTCCCAGTTAGGAAGTTTCTCCTTCATTCTAGTCGCTTCTCTCCTTGGTTAGTTTCCATCCGTTGCTTCTTGTCCTGCCTTCAGGAGCTTTGGAGAATAGCTTGACCCCCTCCTCCTCTTTGGGGCAGCCCCTCAAATATTGAAACACTGCTATCATGTCCCCCTCCCCCAATAATCCTTTTTTTTTTCCTTCTGAATTTGAAAAATCATCTCTTTTTGGTGAAAAAGGAACATTATACGGGGTTACCTTCTGCTTAGGGCCCGGAGACAATTTGAGGGCTGTTTTGGGGGGGTGCCCAAGCCCGTTGCTCTGTTCCTCCCGCAAAGTCAGAAGAGAAGATCTGTGGACCATAATGAGGTGGGGGACAAAACGCCGGTGGAGGCATTCGCGGATGTACTGAGGGGAAAAAGAACAGGTGCCATTAACGCCTCAATCAAAGCTTCAAAGGCTCATCAGGGGTTTGACCGGGAATAAAATCAAGCAGGCCTCAAATCCCAAGCCTGGAGCAGAATCCTAAAAAATTTGGACAAATTTAAAACCGAACTCAAGGTTCTAGCACCTATGAAGGAAAGGGGGGCACATAGGCACACTGTTCGCCTTAAATAGCAAAAAAGGACTGAGGCGTGACTTCCAAAGGTGAAAAGGGTCGAGGTAGCCATTTTAGTTGCTTCCTCGTCCCTGGGGGTGGCTGCCTTGAAATTCCTTGGGATTCATGAGGACTAGAATGCCAGTTTGGGGCTGCAAGGTGTCGAGTCTAAGCTGCATCTGAAGCCAGGCAGCATATAAATATAGACGAGTGTTTCTCAAACTTGGGACACTTTTAAGCGAATTGGAGGCAGGGTGATATTGATAATACAGTGGGGGGTTTTCGGCCATTTTAAGACGGGCGGACTTCAACTCCCAGAATCTTCCAGCCAGCTTTGCTTTTGATTTGCTGCCTGGGGAATTCTGGGGGTTGTAGTCCGCCTGTCTTAAAATGGCCGAACCTTTCTCCCCGCCCCACCCCACACTGTATTATTTTTATCACCCTGCCTCACATGGTTGTGTTCGCTTAGCAAAGGGTGGAAAAGACATACCTGGAACTGATAAAGGGGATACTCCCCGTAGATGTATTCGTACTTCCCGTTCACCTGCAAGGTGTACTCGTCCGCGGGGCTCACTCTTTGGTGGCGGAAAATGGTGGCTTGCTTCTTGACGGCGTAGCTCATCAGAGTGATGGGGAATTCCTTCAGGGAAATCTGGAAAGTGAAGCTCTCCTGCCAATCCAGGAAAAAATATGAAGGCAGAAGGTTAACTTTCTTAGTCCATCTCCGCTGCTTTCCTCATGGGTAGTCTCGACTTACAACCATTTGTATAGCGGCCGTTCGAAGTTATAACAGCAAGGGGAAAGAGTTTAATGGCTGTTTGGGACACGTAACGACCGTTGTAGCATTTCCCACAGCCGCGTGATCCAAATAAATAAATGTTGGGCCCAATTGTGACTGTAAGTTGAAGACCACCTGTATTTTGCACTGGTTCAGCCCACGTGTCCCCACCTACCAGGTCTTTGCAAACAAGCCAAGATCTGAGGAAGATGGGAGGTTAAGAAATATGAAGGCAAGGGAAGAGGAAGGAAGGAAGGAAGGAAGGAAGGAAGGAAGGAAGGAAGGAAGGAAGGAAGGAAGGAAGGAAGGAAGGAAGGAAAAGGAAGGAGAGGAAGGAAGGAACGAAGGAAAAAGGGAGGGGGGAAGAAGGAAGGAAGAAAAAAGAAAGGGAGGGAGAAGAGAGGGAGACAGGAGAAAGGAAGGGAGGAAAAGGAAGGAGAGGAAGGAAGGAAGGAAAAGGAAGGAGAGGAAGGAAGGAACGAAGGAAAAGGAAGGAGAGGAAGGAAGGAACGAAGGAAAAAGAAGGAGGGAGGAAGAAGGAAGGAAGAAAAAAGAAAGGGAGGGAGAAGAGAGGGAGACAGGAGAAAGGAAGGAAGGGAAAAGAAAGAAAAAGGAAAAGAGAGAAAGAGAAAGAAAAAGGAAAGCAAAAGGAAGGAAAAAGAAAGAAAGAAAGAAAAAGAAAGAAAGAAAGAAAGAAAGAAAGAAAGAAAGAAAGAAAGAAAGAAAAAGAAAGAAAAGAAAGAAAGAAAGAAAGAAAGAAAGAAAGAAAGAAAGAAAGAAAGAAAGAAAGAAAGAAAGAAAGAAAGAAAGAAAGAAAGAGAAAGAATTTGAGATTTACACATTAGCAAGAGCATTGCCAGTTTTTCGCTTTGGAAAAACCCATTATCTAGGACACAGACACACAGACACACACACACAGTCTTTGCGCTTTTCCACACACTACAACATCTCCATTCTCTCTTTCTCTACAGAGATTCAGGAAGCGTGCAGATTATTTACCCCTCCGGATTGAAATTTGACGTTGACAAAAATGGTCTTTCCAGGCATGGGCAAAGATGGCCTCCTCCCGAGCCCACTCAGGGCGGGCTCCAGTTGAACTGGGAAACTGTACTCCATCCAGTCCTTCCAGCTGAGCTGCTGGCGCTGAGCCGCCCTCTGCTCGCAGTAATCCCGCATTTGAACCCGGAAGTCGTTCACCTCAGGATCGGCCAAGGAGTCAAACTCGTGCAAACCTAAGACGGGGAAGAAGAGGAGGACTTTCTAAAAAAATGGCAGGGAGAAAGTTGGCCCGTCTACCCTACCGCATCAGATCTCCTCCCTCGACAAGGTAAGCCTGTTGCATCCCTTCACAAGCCCTAAGTTTCTAGTCCTCGTGAAAGCATGGAGGATTCCCTGGGCCAGAAGTCATGCACCGAGATAGGATTTGACTACGCACCTTAGGAAATAGGCCAAACCTTTTATCGAAAGCTGCAAGGAAATCTCATTTCTGCTGCCTGGGTGCATTTCAGTTGGCAGGAAAGTTTTTGTTTAAGATGCCCTGAGATTTTAGGTTTTTCAGCCGCTTTCGTGATTGATCATTATGGGCTATAATTGTCAATAACACTGTCTGTCTTCTCCTAATTACTTTGATTATACTGTGGGGTCCCTGGTGCTATCTGAGCTTGGTTTTTTTTCTTGCAGACGTTTCATTACCCAGCTAGGAAACATCATCAGCGCTGGAAAGAAATGGCTTTGCACTGATGATGTTACCTAGTTGGGTAATGAAACGTCTGCAAGAAAAACCACCAAGCTCAGAGAGCACCAGGGACCCCATAGTTCAACTCTGAGCTACCACTGTATTCTCTTTCTATCGGTGCTTTGACTACACATTAATAAATCAAAATAAGGACTAAAAATACAGCATTGAAAAAGAGCAGGTGGGCTATTTTATATATGTAAGTTTTCAATCAAATCAAAGAATTAAAAACTTAGCAGGCACCAGTCATCCTCTGCCAAGGGCACTTCCTGAGGAACGGAAAGCAATACTTTTATTCCCTCCAACAGCCCTGCAGTGCAGGCCATTTGCCCCCTCGCCCAGGTGCCCTTCCGCCAACCTTTGCCGATCAGGAGGCTAATCTGGGAATTGAGCAGTTTCTTCGCCCGGTCCCCCTCGCGGGCCACCAGCCGCAAGACCGGGAGGAAAGGCTGGACATCACAGAGGCGTCTCTGCTCGTCCTCCAGTTCCTGCAACTCTGCGGCTTGGTTGATGCAGGTGAAGACGTAGGAATCCGGGGCGCTGAGCATCTGGAAGAAGGGCTCATATTGGGCCTGGTGCCAGACCACCTGGAAGGAAGATAGCAATAGCCTTAGGCTTATGTACCACTTCATAGTGCTTTACAGACCCCTCTCTAAGCGGTTGACAGGGGGTCCTCATTTTGCCAACCAATGGAAGGTTGAGTCAACCTTGAGCTGATCAGGATTGAACTCTTGGCGGGGGGCAGACTCAGCCTGCAATACCGCATCTTAACCATTGTGCCACCACAGCTCACTCTATCTATCTATCTATCTATCTATCTATCTATCTATCTATCTATCTATCTATCTATCTATCATCTATCTATCTACCTACCTACCTACCTATACCATCTATGTATATCCACCTACCTACCTACCTACCATCATCTATGTCTTACCTACCTACCGACCATCCATCCATCCACCCACCCACCTACCTACCTACTACCTACCTACCTACCTACCTACCTATCATCTATGTCTATCTACCCACCAACCTTACATTCAGCAAAACACACACAGTTGGGAAGACACCAGGATCCCAATAAGCCTCGACAATAAAAGATAGCTCACGATTTGCTCCCAACAAGTTGCTGTGCGCAAACTCCCTTTTTAAACAGTGTTCCCAGCTGCAGCTAATGAAGGGAATCAGGGCCCTTTCCTTCCCAGTAAGCCATGCAACCCACGCTGCTCCCTTCTCCGTTCCTCCCTGCGTGCCCTAGGATGAAGAGGGGGTAGGCCTCCAAATTCTCCCTCTCTTGTTCTACCTCTTCCCTGCTCTGCCCAGCCGGACTTTGCCCTTCCCCAGTTTTTTCCACAGCCAACGGAGCCCATACTCCCACTCCCTGTCAGCTGCTCGGCCTCCCTCTCTGAATCAGATTCTGACAGGGGGCATGACAGAGGTAGTCCTTGACTTACGACCACAACTGAGCTGGTCAGAAGGTCACAAAAGGGGATCCAGTGACCCTGGCACATTGCAACCATCATAAGTAGGAACCAGTTGCCAAGCCTCCGGATTTTGATCATGTGACCACAGGGGAGGAGGAGCTGCAACAGTCGTAAGCGTGAAAATCAGTCGCCTGTGCCTTTTTTCCAGTGCCGCTGTAACTTTGAAGGGCCACTAATGGAATTGTTGTAAGTTGAGGACTCTCCATAGCTGGGCGAAACTCCCGTCACAAAGACCGTACCTTTTTGATGGCAGCCAGGCTGGCATGGCAGGAAACGGGCAAGGGCAGGTAAATCCCGGTGGGTAGGAGGAAGTCCACATGGATGGTGTAGTTGCTTTCTTTGGACCAAAATTCGGACGGGCAGTACATTCCTGGGGGCATCCCTGGCATTTCTCAATGCCAACCTGCAACGAAACGGAATCCCGACATTTTCATCCCTGCAAATTCTCTCCTTTTCACCCAGGAGAGTGGCCAAACCTCTGAATTCCCAAGCATGCGATCACGGAAACACAGTCACCGTTTTTTTTTTCCCCCCAGCGCCGTCATAACGCCAAGCGGTCACTAAATGATCTCTTGCAAGTGGGCCACCTGGATCGTTCACATGTTCTGAATACCCTTAAAGAGGGGCTGTAAAGCACTGTGACATATACCGCTTCACGGTGCTTTACAACCCCTCTTTAAGCGGTTTACAGAGTCAGAATATGGCCCCAAACTATTTGGGTCCTCATTTGATGGTAGGTAGGTAGGTAGGTAGACGGATAGATAGATAGATTAGATAGAGATAGATGATCGATAGATAGAGAGATGAGAGAGAGATGGGGGAGAGAGAGAAGATGGATAGATAGATAAGTAGAGAGAGATGATAGATGGATCGATAGATGAGAGATGGGGGAGAGAGAGAAGATGGATAGGTAGGTAGGTAGGTAGGTAGGTGGGTGGGTAGGTTGGTAGAGATGACAAATAGATGGACTGACGGATGGATGGATGGATAGATATAGAGATGAGAGAGGTATAGATAGGGAGGGAGAGAGAGAGAGATGGATAGATAAGTAAGGAGAGAGAGAGAGATGATAGATAGAAAGGTAGATATAGAGATGAGATAGGAAGAGAGAAGATTGAAAGATAGATAGATGATAGATAGATAGATAGATAGATAGATAGATAGATAGATAGATAGATAGATAGATAGATGGTAGGTAGCTGCCCCCAAAAAGCAGAAAGGGAGATGGACCCAAGGCAGAAGATAAAAAGGGCTTGAAAAACAGATGTCCTGGACACTTGAAAGGAGATTCCTGAGAGATGATTCATTTGTTTATAAAATGTGCGTCTCAGCTTTTTCCTTTCTTTTTTCAACCACCCCACAGTTGAAAATGACTTCACCGCCCTCCTGCAATGTGATCCCCGGTGTGCAAAGCAGATCTTTTAAAATCTTCTAAATCCTGCCCTTTCAAACTGCCCAATCCTTTCTGAATTATGGATTTCTTCCCAATTCATTTGCAAGTCCTTTGCATCTCATCCATTGTGCCGCTGTCTTTCCAGCTGACACATTTCTCTGCTGAACGTTTTCAAATCTGGCGGTGCTGTTTTATGCAATACTAGCTCGATACCCATGCTTTGCTATGAAACTATGTGGTCGGGCTTAGTTTTTTGGGAGGAGAATAAGGGGGGGAGGGGGAAATGTGCCTCTGCCTACCAGCATCCATCGATATTCATCTGGCTAGCGTCCTGTCAGTGAGTGAGAGTGTTGAGGGCTGTTTGGAAACTGAAGCAGTATTTGCTGTGTGAGCAAGGAGACAGCAAGGAGCCTGGGCGTGGCTTAGCTCAACTGTTCTGTACTAAAACTGCTTGCTGCTGTGAAACTAAAACTCCTCTCCTCTGCTTGTGTTTTGCATTTGGAAGAGATTTCTTTTCAGGTGGGAAAGGGGAGTGGAACTCCTTAGCATCAGAGCGTGTTGTGAATAATAATAATATATGAAATATTAATGGTTCTGAGGGTCATTTGGAAAAATCCTTTCTTAATGAGCACTGAGAAGCCAAGAGGAAGATACGTGCCGAATTTCAAGTTTGTAGGCTTTATAGTTCTGGAGATTTTGTGATGGTTCCCGAGTGGTATTTTGCTTTTATCTATATAGATGTTATGATGAGGCATTTTGAAATGACTTTGACCTGCCTCATAAGTACACAAACCTAGCAGCATCTTAGCGAGCTCACTTGGGGTTTTCCAGAAATCGACTAATAACCAAATTGACAGGGGAAAGGGGGGGGGGGGGTTGGGAAGGATGCAAAGTATAAAAAGTCTAATTTAAATAAATCAAGTTTCTAGACCTTAAGGTAATAGAGCCATTCTTGCTTTCTACCAACAACCTAATTAAAAAAAAGTGAGGAACAGATTTGGTTCTATTAGGGTCAAACATGATGCAGTTTGCAACCAAAATCTGAACTTGAACACTTCTATGTAAAAACAGGTAGTTCTCATCTTATGACCCCAACTGAGCCCAACACTTCTGTTGTTAAGTGAGACATTTGTTAAGTGAGATTTGCCCCATTTTAAGGCCTTTCTTGCTCCAATTGTTGAGTGAATCACTGCAGTGGATAAGTTACTAACCTGGTTGTTAAAGTGAATCTGGCTTCCCCATTGATAATAGAATAGAATAGAATAACAGAGTTGGAAGGGACCTTGGAGGTCTTCTAGTCCAACCCCCTGCCTAGGCAGGAAACATTGCTGGTCAGAAGGTCGCAAAAGGGGAGCACGTAACCCCAGGACACTGCAACAGTCATAAGTATGAAGTTGCCAAGCACCTGAATTTTGTTCCCACGATTATGGGGATGACGCCAAGGTCGTGATGCTGAAAAAAACAGCCGTAAGTCACATTTTTCAGCGCCGTCATAACTTTGAATGGTCACTAAACAAAACCATGGCAAATTGCACGTATAGATTACAAGTTCAGGTTCAATTAACTGGGAACTCTGGAAATGCTCCAGCCAAGAGCAAAAATTTAGGGAGGGCGAACCTAATATACCACAAATTTTAATGAAGTAGTGTTGTACCTTATGATTCTTGATGAATGTATCTTTTCTTTTATGTACACTGAGAGTATCTGCACCAAAGACAAATTCCTTGGGTGTCCAACTACACTGGGCCAATAAAGAATTCTATTCTATTCTCAAGTAGAATATTTGAAACGTGAATTGCATCACGACCATCTCAATTAGAGTTTTCTCCCCCATTGTCCACTGCCTTTATACAATTACCCATCAGCAGAGAATGAGGTAATTTTCAAGATTTCTCAACCAAGGCAACAAAAAATGATGCTCTGTAATTCTTTGGCCCTCAGCCAGCCTTGCAAAGAACTATTGGTCAGTTTAGGTTAGGGGTCTTCAAACTTGACAGCTTTAAGACTTGTGGACTTCAATTCCCAGAATTCCTCCTCCAGTCATGGTAGCTCAGGAATTCTGGGAGTTGAAGTCCACAAGTCTTAAACTTACCAAGTTTGAAGAGCCTTGGATTAGGTGATGCACAGTTAGTCCTCGATTTACAACACAGTTCATTTAGTGACTGTTCATTTTTCAGAGTGTACGATCTTTGTAAAATCCCCGTTGGTCGGGTGATCAAAATCGGCCACCGGTTCAGACTTACGACCATTGCTGGATCCCAAGGACCTTTTGCGACCTTTTGACAAGTAATGGGAAGGGGAGGGGGAAGGAAACCAGCTTCACTTAACCATTGGATTACCAACTCATCAGCTGCACTGACTCACTTAACAATGGTGGCGAGAAAGTTCATAAAATGGCAAGTTTGAAACTCACTTAATAAGCATCTCACTTAACAGCGGAAATTTCGGGCTCCATTTGCGGTGGCAAGTCAAGGATTACTTGAAGTTCTTGGAAGGCACAAATTCTCTTGCAGCCTTGCCTGCAAAATCTGGGAATTATTTTTTTTAAAAAAATCTTTTTCTTTGCATCGTTAAGAGGCAACATATATACACACACATACACGTTATCAACGCAAGGGACTAAATTATGGGAAAGCCTATCCGATTCCACTAAGGAGTGGAGTAAATTATTTATTATCCCTTCTGAGAAGGAAGGTGATGGGCCAGGGAAACCTTTCAAGCTAAATACTTAATAGGATAAGATTATTTACAAAGGACTCACAAACACAAAGGCCTTTAAAAGGCAACGCTTTGCTTTTTAAAAAGAAAAAAGAAAAACACTGATTTTTTTAAAAAAAAACCTCTCTAGATTCCCTTGCAGTTTGTTTGTTTGTTTGTTTGTTTTTAAAATCCAGATGATTTTTTTTTTCTCAACAAGTGGTAAAATATTGCCAGAAGTTAGCAAAAAGAGATTGTTTTAGCCCGGAAATAAACTTCAGAAGGGCAGGAACAAGTGATGCGTTAAAAGACACAATTCACAAAATGATGTAGAGAAAAATTAGACCCCTTGTTCATTAATCGCAATTTTCATTAACCGCAATTTCTCCCAAAGCCTTTCTTGAGGTCTAGCGTCTTGCAAAGCTTTAGTCCCCTTTTGGATTTCAAGAAAGAAAGAAAGAAACGCCCAGTTTCCCAGCCTTTTAAATCTTGGGCATAACTAGGCTTAGCTTCAAAGAGAGGGGGGAAGAAACTCAATCAGATGATGATTTATTTCTGGGAAAGGCTGATCTCACTATATCAAGCATGTAATATTTCTGCTTTTTAAAAAAATTAATTAAAAAAATAAACGCGGCTCCGAATCGGACGCAAAGCGGGTGTAAAAGCGACCCCCCCCCCTTCCCAAGGCAAATATTTGCAGACGCAAACCCTCCCCCCTTCCCCCCCCAGATGCGCCCGATCCCTTGGGCATCCTAAGGCTCGAACAAAGGACCACGTAAGGGGGGAGACGCCGCCTGCAGAAAGCTACTCTGCACGTGCTCAGAGGCTTGCTGCCCCACCCCACCCTTGCACAGCTCCCTCCCCCTTTCCTCTCGCCCCCCTCCCCAAACCCAATTCCCCCAAAGGAAGGGAGGGGGGATCCGCCCCGGGGAAAGGAGCGCAAAAAAGGACCCCCGGCTCTCCAAAGACGCCGGATCCGGGAGAAGCCACCCACCTCCGTGCAGCGGCGGCGGCTGTTGCGGCTGTTGCTGCTGCTGCATCCCGGCCTCTCCCGAGCCTGCTTAACCCCGGGCCGGCTGGAAGGGTGGGACGCCCCCCACAGCCCCACCTCTTCTTCGGCGGCTGCCTCGCAAGGGAGCGTGGCCAAAGAGCCCGAGGCGGCCAGAAACGTCGCTGGTCCGTCCCAGGGATCCCTTCCCAGACGGTGGTGGGGTGGATCCGGCTGATTTCCCCCACCCTCCAACCTTCCACCCACTCACACCACCACCCCTTGGAACAGATCCCCCTCCCTTTTCAAGCGCGTTTCCCTCCGCCTCAACAGCTCTCCATCCCTTGCAATCGGTCTCTTTTCTTACCCTGCGTGCTCCAGATCCCTTCACCGATCCATCGATCGGTCGATCCACTTCCAAGCGCGAGCGGAGAGCGAGAGAGAGAGCTGGGGAGAGGGGGCTCCTTAACGCGCCTTTGGGTAGCTCCCCTTCTCCACATGCGCCTTGGTCGTTTGGAGAGGTCTGCTTAACCGCCGGCGTGCTTTGAAGCGGGTCCCCCCCCTTGCGGATCCCGATCGCCCAGGATCGCGTTGTAGGCTTGCTTTCCAAGAGAAGGATCCTCTTTCCGGAGCTCCCGCTTTCCCCTGCGGAGGCTCCGTTTTCTTTTTGCTTTTTCCCCCAGCTCCGCGCTGGGAGCGCTTCGCTTCGCTTTGCTGCTGGAGGGCTTGAAAGGGCGCGGGAGTTGCGCTTCCTGAGCGTAACAACATTGAATCCTCCCGAGTTGGACGCTGCTTTCTCTTTCGCTCTTTTGGTTTGTTACAGGAACCAGCCCCGCCACGCCTTGCTTTCGTTCGGTATTGGCCGATCGAGCTGAGTGTAAACTTCACCAGGTAAAAAAGAGAGAGAGAGAGAGAGAGAGAGAACAAAAGAAAGAAAAAAGAAAGAAAGAAAAACTAAAGAAAGAAAAGAGGAAGGAAGGAAGGAAGAGTAAGAAAAAAGAAAAACTAAAGAAAGAAAAGAGAAAGGAAGGAAAACTAAAAGAAAAAAGAAGGAAAAAAGAAAAACTAAATAAAGAAAAGGAAGGAAGGAAGAAGAAAAGGAAGAAAAAAAGGAAAAAAACAAAGGAAAGAAAGAAAAGGAAGGAAGAAGAGAAAGAAAACACAAGGAAAACAGAAAAATTAAAAGAAGCAAGAAGCAAGAAAAATCAAGAAAGGAAGAAAACAAAAGAAAAAAGAAAAACTAAAGAAAGGAAAGAGGAAGAAAAAAGAAAGGAAAAAGAAAAGAAAGAAAAAAACTAAAGAAAGAAGAGGAAGGAAGAAGAAAAGAAAGAAAAAGGGAAGAAAAACAAGAAAGGAAGGAAAGGAAGAGAAAGAAAACACAGAAGGAAAAAAGAAAAGAAAAATTAAGAAGGGACAGAAGAAAGATTTTCTGAGGTTTTTTTTTCCAGAATGGGTAATCTCACCCTGTATGTTTCTGAAACTGACACCTTATTAGAGTTCTGCTTTTCTTTTACAGTAGCTTCTTTTTTTAAACCCTCAGATCAGCCACAGTGAATTTATTATCTCAACAAACACAATGGTTGTTTTTTTTTAAACTCATGATAATCAATCATCAATAAGGGATTTGGAATCTGTTTTGCAGTCCATCTGCTTCGGTTTTCCAACCAAGCTGTTTTCTCCTGGGTCCCCCCAGCACTTCATCCTAATTTAAATTCTTCAGCCATCCAGCCTTTTAATAAAATTGGCAACTTGGAAAGTGATGTTTGCCACTAGCTACCAACAGGGTTCTCTTCCTAAGTATTATTTATGTCGAACCTCGTGAAAAAAAATCAAGGGAACCTGAATCAACCAAGTTTTTTTTCTTCAAACCCTCTGACCTTGTTAATTAGGTTTTACCCTTTTCCAAAACTGCTTTCTATGCCACAGAAAGCAACCCGCTTACTTATCCAACCAGAGGCTGATTTTATAATATGCACACCGTCTAACACGCAAGATGCAAAGACATTTGGGGGAAAAAAACACGGGAGAAGGAAGAACTTCAGGGCAATTCTACCAGCAGGCCTCCCAAACAAAGCTTATTACCGGTATGTTGCAATTTTCCCAGAATTGCTAAACATAAATAAGTTTGTAGTCCTCAGGAATGGCAAAATAAATAAAGCCAGATCTCTAAGATTAAATTGCAAAGATAAGCACAGATGCCTTTGGGGAGGATGAAATGAAATTCACTGGGAGGCGGTGATATTTTCTAGGAAGCTCAGAAAACCAGCAATTTTTCCACTTTTTAAAAAAACAACGTGGGAGCATTAAGCAAAATAGGGCAAATCCTATTTCAAAAACCAAAATCCATCGTAATTGAAATGGATCCAGTTTGGCTGGCACGTGTTTTTTGTGTCACTGAATCCAGCTCTTTGAATTTCCTCTTTCAAGGAGCCGTTTTGATGGACTTGCTCATACCGTGGAAATCCAAAGATTTGCACAGACTTTTTAATCCTGGCCACAAGGCACCACCGTTGGGCGGATAAAAATAGACAAGCCGTCGTATCACCAGCATACCATCCCCTCCTTCAAACGGGAAATTTATCGACAGGACGGCAAACATTCTTCCTTGCCACAATTTGGATTTAATTTATCGCCACTGATCTCTGGTGGTTGGTTGTTGTTGTTTTTGCGCAAGGTGGAAAACTGGCACAAGCGTTGAGACTATAATAATTACCACCAATTAGGAATTTTTTATTTTTTTAAAAAAATAAGACGACGAACAGACCGAACACTCAATTTCCGTTTGGAGCCTCTCCAGGCAATGAATGGGCACTGGCAAACAACAAATAACAGGTCTTAAAAAGGCCACCTTTTGAGCATCCGCAAGACAAACAGGAAGCATGGCTCTTTCAAGAGGTTAACAAGATTTATTTTTTTCCTGTACCAGCTGCAGCACGCACTTTTGGGGGTCTAAGAAAAGCCAGAGGAACTGTTTGTGCCCAGAAATACTCACAGGAAGAGGTTTCTAATATGATGAAGCTCTCTTGAGATAGCACAACTTTAAAGGTTCCCCTCACACAGCATTTGTGCTAGTCGTTCCCAGCTCTAGGAGCCGGTGCTCATCTCCGTTGCAAAGCCGAAGAGCCAGCGCTGTCCGAAGACGTCTCCGTGGTCATGTGGCCGGCAGGACTGAATGCCAAAGGCACACGGAACGGTGTTCCCTTCCCACCAAAGGGGTCCCTATTTTTCTACTTGCATTTTTTTTTAACGCGCTTTCGAACTGCTAGGTTGGCAGAAGCTGGGACCCGTAACGGGAGCTCACTCCATGACGAGGCGCTGGGGATTCGAACGGTTGAACGGCTGACCTTTCTGATCGACAAGCTCGGCGTCTTAGCCCCTGAGCCACCATCAGGCTGCAGGCAACACCATACTCTCTCCGGTCCACCGAACAACCTTTCCCCAAAGGTTGGGGCCCGCTGGGCTAGATGACCCTGGTTGATTTTTAAAAAAATATGGGACTGTATAAAGAAGCCGGATCTGGAATCCGATAGGGTCAAGTTAAATGGATGCCCTGTTGTTCACCATTTAGTCTGGTTGCTCACCGTTTCATGGGCTTTCTTGAAAGATGTCTATAGAAGGGGCAAAAATCCAGCTGTAGCAAATTATGACGATTCATTGCACGGCCAGCCAGAGGGAGTGGTGCGGTGGCCTAGGGTTGGAGCTCTCGCCTCACAATCAAGAGGCTGTGAGTTCGATCCTAGGTAGAGGCAGATATTTCTCTCTCTCTCTGGGCGCAATGAGAATATATCTGCCGAACAAAACTCCACACCGGGGACAGGAAAGGCATCCGGCCAGTAAATATACTGCTAGCTTCATTCAGTTGCCCAGACTCCACCCCCGGCAAGGGTCATTAAAAGATGATGATTGCACTATCAGCCAGAGGTTCAGATTGGATTTGGCTTTTTTTTTTTATCCACTTAATGAGTCCTTCCCAAGGTTCTGGGATAGACCGCTCTTGACGTTTTGCGTTGTTAGAAGCATCGTTGCAGGATGTAAGCCGTTGGGAGTAAAGCTGCCTTTTGCAATTGACCGAGAGTGGATTGATCAATGCTGAATGTGTTCAGCTAGTGCACCAATTGTTTTGGGATTGTACCCAATGCATCTACAACTATTTGCTTTCTTTTGCCACAGTGGTTCTATTTCAGAATAACAGAGTTAGGAGGGACCTTGGAGGTCCTCTAGTCCAACCCCCACTGAAGCAAGAGACCCCCTATATACCATTTCAGACAGATGGCTGTCCAGTCTTAAAAACCTCCAGCAATGGAGCACCAAGCTGTTCCACTGATTAATAATTCTATCTCTCAGGAAATTTCTCCCTAATTCCAGGTTGCTTGATTAGTTTCCATCCGTTTTTTCTTGTCCTGCCCTCTGGTGCTTTGGAAAATAATTTGACCCCCCCTTTTCTTGGTGGAAATTTCTTCTTTGCAAGTCTGTACTTTATTGTTATTATTATTTTGGAAATAATTTGAATTCTGCCATTGGTTAATCTGCAGGGGAGCTTTTCTTTCAAAAGATGTAGCTGCTTATCTTTTTTTTTCCTTTATCCCCACTTCTGTATTATGATTTCTTGATCTGGAGAAGTTTGCCATTTTAAAAAAAAAGTCAGATTAAAAATGCAGGATGGGAATAGGAAAAGAGAGGGGGGGGGCGAAACCACCCATAAATAGCTTCTCTTTTTAACCCCACACATTTTAAGATGACCGCAAAGTTTCTCTGGGAGAAGAAATGTATCTCAGTGCTGGGAAAGTTTAAAACAGTCAAGGGGAAATCCGCCAGCAACCAGAACAGAAGTGTCATTTTTGGCCAATTTACAAACGTTGTTGTTTTTTTTTTTTTACCACAATACTATAATGCATTTTTTTTTTTTTTGCCGATCAGGCACACCACCCATTTTGGTACCCTGAAAAATCTCATTTTTTTAAAAAAAAGAACACCTGCTTTTCAAGTTCCTAGTCCTCAGGATCGAAAGCCCCATTGGAAGGCAACCAAGAGAGAAGACAGTTTTCAGATGTAATGGGTCCACTTGGGATCGTTGCAATTCATTTTCTGGAATGGGCAGATTTGAGGACTGGAGGTGTAAAAGGGAGGCTCGTGTTATCATTTAAGGCTCTTAATATAATATAAATCCTGCAGCAGGGAGTTCCATTGGTAAAAAGATCTCCTTTATATCAGTTTATCTTTCAGCTGAACCCTATTCGTGAATGAGGATACCTGAATCATTCACATTTTAAAAGTTTCTCCCATCTGCCCCTGCCGGAAGTACTACCTATCCCATAACAACCCCGCCCCTCCCAATAATTAATTAATAATAAATTAAGACCCTGAGGATTAAAACCATTCAACAGTGCCACCTGGTGGAGGCCACAGAGCAAACATGACAAATGCATTCAACTCCCCCATTATCCCTTTCTAGTCTAGAAATTGCTCAGGAAGATGTATAAAAATGAAACTGGTATTTAGCAGGAAATGCTGTTTTGTTTGCACTGTTTGAAAGAAACGAAAGCAGGTATGAGATCCCAAATCTCATGCTTGCCAATGAGAGAAATAAAAATACCCAAAGGGTGAGAAAACCCCAAAGGAGTTAGTAAAAATTGTTTTTACTTTTTAAAACATGCATGCTATTTGGTTGGTGAGGATGGGAGGCAGAATAATAAGAGTCAAGAGGTTAAAATGACTCTCCATTAAAAATACAAATCTACAAAGAAATATACCAGAAATTTATCCTAAGTATCTAAAAAGTAATCAAATAGGGTTCAGAGACTAAATGCAATCAAAACTTTATTTTTTAAAAAAAACTCATTTTCAACAAACAGCAACGTTTGAAACATAATTTTAACTCACACGGAAAGAACTGAATAACAGGTTATGTTTCAACTCGCCCATCCTATTTTCATACACTGGCATGAAACTCTAGATAGAAAATAAAATATATTATTTCACTTCAAATTAAAATGCTCTGTGCTGCCCTTGCAGTATTAAAAATATTAAAATAACAATTGGAGATAAAAATACTAAATGCATCATTTTTTTTTAAATCCTGTGGTTTGCTAATATACTAGAAATTATTCCAGACACCTGTACATTTTAAAGAGAGGAGCTATAAAAATTAGCAGTGTTATAAGATGGCGTGAAACTTTATTTGGGAAAATTAATTTTTATTCTTATTTTTAATCTTTGATCTTAATTCAGAAGCAGGAAAATTTATCTTCTCTTTCAAAAAAACAAAATGATCCACCCACCCCTTTCCTCTGCCCAGTTTTTCAGTTTCCCAGATCTGTCAAAATTTGTTTTTTCTTTCTTTTCACTTCTCATATTACAACTGTCAAACACTTCTACAGAACAGAAAGCTGTGAACTGTTGAACCGTTGAACCGTATTTATCCCCCAAACAACTCGACAAAAAAAGAGCAAACGAAAACCCATTACGCATCACCGACCTGGAAGAAAACAAAAAATATTGCAACCGTAAACATTTGGCAATCAATCCACAACAGAAACTTCTGGCACATCCTTTGAACCAGGATTTCTAAACTTTCAAACAGGGGATTTGATGGACTATAATAAATGCTGTTTTTGACTTCTTTTTCTAAATACAATCGGTGAATTATGTTTTGCAGAAAAAATTGAGGGGTGTCAAAAGGTTTATGCTCTCCTGGCTCCTACACATTGGTGTGGGGAAAAAAAAACTACAAATATTATTCTATTTCTGTACAAGGCATTGAAATAACCTTAAATGAAAATAATGAATGAAAACTGCTAACAGGGTACCACCAATTTTCTTCAGCTTGGCTTTTCAATGCTGGACACCTCTTCCCAATTTCTCTGGATGTTGTTTCAAAAGGAAAGGAATTACCACTGACACCACCACCGTAATGCTCAAACCAGTCGAAACATTCTTCAAATTGATTTTTCTTTTTTTAACTGGCATTTGCAGAATGGTCATCATCCTGCAGAAAATAACTTGCAAAATCAGAAATTCTTGGTGCTTTTGAAAAACCCCGGGGGAGGTCACTGACCTCTTCCTAGTACAAATGATTCAAATGCTTCTAAATAAAAAAAAAAAAAAAACAAGGACTTCTCCAACTTAAAAAGCAACATTCACAAAAAAAACAAAACCCCAAATCTCTCAGGAGTAAGTAGTATGTAAAATATTGCCGGATTTATGGATGCCAGAGGCTCCATCAGTGGTGCAGTTCCTTCCTTGGAAACCCAAGTAACCTTTTTGTGTGTCTCTTGTGTGTGTCTTGCAAACAATTGGCTGTGTTGGCCTAGTTTCAAACAGGATACTTCAGGGGTCTCCATCTGTAGCCCCCTCCCCAGTCGACCGTAACTAACCCCATGGCATGTTGGGAGTTGTAGTTTACCAACTTGGATGCCACTGTGAACAGCAAACTCAAGAGTGCAGATCTCGAGATCTCTCTCTCTCTCTCTCTCTCCCTCAATCTGGCTTTGCAGAGAAACTTAAGCAGAATTGGAATCCAAGCCCTGCGCCACCCAACTGCTTCAGTCCCGCACGACAAAGCTGTGATGAGAGAGCATCGGAGCAGAGCTCCAGTCCATCAGTTGGCCACCTGGATCTCAAGAAGACCTTGGATTTGAACCTCTTTGCTTTGAAAGGAGTCAGAAAGAGAAGGCTGGCTTGAAAAGAAAACGGGGAATCAGAAGCAGCGGGGAACATCCTCCTCACCCAGAACTGGAAACTTGAGACTCAAAACATCCAGGTTGTAATTGGACTAGCCTTGGTCTTCCTGTCTCTTCCACCCGGCCGTTTTCCTATGCAGGAGGATGGTCTCACTTCAGCTCCATCAGGGAATAGCTTGACTCCTGCCAGCTCCAATAAGGGCCAAAGGGCAGGTCGGAGAGAGCCGGGACGGAAGGTCCGGGAGCCGCCGAGGGCTGCAGAAGCAGCGGCGGCGGCGGCGGCGGAGTCACCCCGTCGGGCAGCCAAAGGCGGAGACAGGGCTCGCAGCCCCCCAAAGGGACGATCCCCAGCGGGCGGTGGCCGATCGGATGCGAGGGGGTCTGTCCCACCGCCGCGGGACCCCAGAGGCATCCAGCCGGAGCGCAGGATCGCCGGACTGGGGTCTCCACCACGCGAGGAGGCGGCGGCGGGGCAGCGGGGGCGGCCAGCGGGGGCGATGATCTCCGGGCGCGTCTCCGCCGCCGGTACTTGCCCGGCTCGAACGTGCTTCGGAAAGCCGGGTCCAGCGTCCAATCGCTGCCCTTGCGCGGCCCGCCCACGCGGGGCAGCTTGACGAAGCACTCGTGGAGGCTCAGGTTGTGGCGCACGCTGTTCTGCCAACTGCGCTGGCCCAGCCGGTAGTAGGGAAAGCGGCCGGCGATGTATTGGTAGATGGAGCGCAGCGGCAAGCGCCGGCCCGGGCTGGCCTCGATGGCCATGGCGATCAGGGCCATATAGGAGTAAGGGGGCTTCGTAGCCTCCCCCGTGGCCTCCTCCCCCTCCCTGGGGCGTTCCTCCTGGGCCGAACCTGAGCCGAGTTCCGGAGCGCACAGCTTGGAGAGCTTCTCCTGGGCGCAGCGCTTGGAGAGCTTCTCCAAAGCGCGCTTTTGGAGACGCGGCGCGCCCACCTTTCCTCGCCCGTCTCTAGTTTTGGGGGACTCGGGGGACCCGGCCGGGCAAGGGCGCGGGGAGCCCCCGGAGGATCGAAGGGGATCCAGCTTGGGGGGGGGCGCTTTCCTGGGCTCCTGGGGGGGTGGGAGGCGATCGCGGGTATGCAAGGCGCGCCCAGCTCCTCGGCAGCCTGGAGCGCTTCTGCGCCCCTCCGCTGACCCCCGAGGTTCATAGACGGGTCATCGACGAGATGTAACTCTCCGGAGAGATGTAGCAACTGTAGCCCCACTTTTGAGAGGCGGGTGGAGATCTTCTCCCCTCCCTGTGGATTGCACTTGGCTTTTCCTTCGGATATGCACGGCTAGGGATTTTTAGACCTGCATGCGCCGTTTTGTGTGTGTGTGTTTATGTGTTTATGTATGTGTATATATGTGTGTGTGTGTATGCATGGATGCATTTTATATTTATGATCGTTTCGAGCCTTGGTGAGATGCGCTATATAAACTAGACAAATAAAATAAAGGGATTCCCCCCCCCCCCCGGACCAAATCCAAGCGAGCAACTCTGTCCATGCTCTAAATTACCCTTGTTTGCAATTCATCTCCAAAACGGTAGCCGTTTTTGGAGAGGAAGAGGAAATTCCTGCCGGCGACTCGCTTAATGTGCAAATTCTGCAAAGCTCTGCCTGGCGCGTTTCCCCTCCAAGATTGGAATAATTTCCTTTGCGCGTTGCATTGCGAAGCCTCTCAACTTGCTTAGCCATCTCTTACAAACGACGCCTTGGTAGTCTCTTAAATTCCATTAAACTTCTATGAGGGGTTATGGGAGACCTAAAATAATTTAGAGGTACAAGAACTAAAGGCTACAAATTTAAAATTGCATATTCGAAAAGACGGGCAAATGTGTGGTCGGAAAGCCTGCCCCCTTGTGGATATCTTTGGTCATATCGTGTCCCCCCCCCCCCCCCAAGAAAGCTTTTGAAATTGAAAACGTCAGACGGCGTCTTTAGAGGGAGATGCACGAAGAAAAAGTTAACGTTGCCATGAAAGGCCAGTTGTTACTGGTAACAGATGTCGCTGTTGTTGCTTTGCAATATTGTTTGGTGATTTTAAATTAAATTGAACCCCAAACACAATCAAATACTTTTTGCTTTACTTTGTGGCGGGTGCGATGGCACAGTACCATACATGGAAGTACCTGCAAAAACTTAAGAAAACAAATATATATGGGGGTGCGATGGCACACTGTGTCCACAAGAGATTATCGCCCTCTTGTGGACACAGTGTGCCATTGCACCCCCATATATCTGTTTTCTTAAGTTTTTGCAGGTACTTACATGTATGGTATTCAGCTTTGTTTGGGTATTTTCCCACGTCATTATAAGTTGTGCTTTTAAAGTTGTAGCAACGAACACAATACACAAGCCTGAGGATGGCAGATGAGATTCTGCCGAAATGTTGCTACAACTTTAAAAGCACAAAAAGTGACTTCTGACCGTTTTCCACACTTATGACCGTTGCAGTGTCCCCCATGGTCACAAGATCAAAATCCAGACACTTGGCAACTGACTCACACTTACAACGGTTTGCAGTGTCCCAGGGTCACACAATTCTCTTTTGCGACCATCTGACAGTCAATGGGGAAACCAGATTCGCTTAACGACCGGGCTACTCTCTTAACAAATGCAGTAAGAAAAGTTATGAAATGGGGCAAAAGTCCCCCTTCACAAATTTCTCACTTAGCAACATAACATTTTTGGGCTCGACCGTTGGTCATAAGTTGGATCTTATCTGGATTTTTGTTTTTTGTTTTTTAAAGTGTGATTTTGCACATCAGGGCAAGAAGCAACTTCGAAAGGTTAAAAAATTCCCTCTACTTTTGTAACAGAAACAAGAGCCTGTGAACTCTTACAGGACGGTCTTAGTGTAAATTTTGGGTCGCGTTTTGCACTACTGGGATAAAAGGCAGATTTTATTTCAGCCGTTGACCCTTTACCCTCCGTGACACCTGCCCCGGTGACGGAAAATATGCTACATTTCATCTGACACATTGCCTTTGGTGGCAATGAGGGCAGATGGTTGCAAAATTGTTAATTTTGTTCTGCAAATGGAAACTTATTGCTCTCAGGGGTTCTCAAACCTCCCTTCCCTGTCAGAGGATGCAAAGAACAAGGGCACGAAACTCCAGATGCAACATCACCTTTATTTCTTAAACCATTTTATAAAGAAAAATAACCTTTCAAATGCAGAACATAAAACATCTCAAGAGGGGAGACGAAAACAAGAGAGGGGAAAACACCCTCCCCTTCGGCACACGAAATCTTAAAACAAACCCCGAAAGGCGGATTCCTCTCCAGCCCCCTTAAGTATAAAATGAAATAAAAGATTTCTCAAGTGGCATTCAGTGGCCTTCCCACCCGTTGTAAAATTCAAGCCTCGCAGGACACAGTGTATATCTGATCGTTCTTGTACATTCAGCAAGAAGCTAGTCCTCAGGGAGTACTGGGGCATGTATGGGCATGTCTGTCTTCGTGTATCACAAAAGATACAAAGAGGCTGGAAGAGAGAGAGAGAGGGACTGCTTCTATAGAAATGGGGTGAACTTGAAAATAAACTCCTGAATTGGAAATTTTTCCGTTGCTAAATGTTAGACCTTATTCCCCAGAAGGGGGGGGGGGGGGAGACAGACATGAGCAAAACCAAACTGACATAAAATATACACATTTAAAAAAAACGTGTGTGTGTTTTCCCCCTACCAACCTAAAGTTTAAGAAAAAAAAACTTTGAACCCTTAAGACTTAACACTGCGATCAAAGGAACCTTAGTGTGACTTTAATAACTTGTTTCCTAGCACCAAAAATACAGGCCTCCTTGTTTTGATCTGTGCATATTTTCTTTTTGCTGATTTCTATATTTTTTTTTAAAGCTGCTTTCTGCAACACCCATGTGGAGAGATCACCACTTTTGAGAAATTTTGCCCTATGAAGCAAAAATTAAACAGTGGTTAAAGAAAGCCTGTTTAACACAACACTTGAAATTTCTGGAAACCACCCCCAAAAACCACTTTCTTGAGAAGTTTCAAGGCAGCCGGGTTGCTGTGCGGTGGGAGACTCCCAGGATGGGAAAATGTGATTATTATTTTTTTCAAGCAGAGGGACAGCTCTGAGAAAATTAATTGAATGTCCTGCATCGTCTATGAACAAACTGGCAATAAACGCCCCGCTTCCAAGCCAGGATCATCAATGGTGGGTCGTCTTAATATCTTGGCTAAAAAATAAAAATCCTTGGTTGCTAAAGAGGCAGGAAAAAAAGCTTTGAAGAGGTCTCTTTTTGTTATGCTCTTAAAAAAAACAAAATCAGCCTTCTAACCCATGTTGCACAGCCGGCTAAGACAGAAGCACTCTCATTTTAGCCAGCCAATGAACAAGGTTTAAAGCTGGGTGGTAAATGGCAGAATGTTACTTCCTGAGACAAGTTTAATTTTTCTAATTTAAAATTCTAATTTAAGCTTTGCTTCCCCACTCAGACAGACACGTTTGAATTTTTTGGCACCTAGGAAAAATAAATCGGGATTTCCAAACTGGAGGCAAACTTTTGGGGCTCAGCTCAACCCACACGATGGGGGGGAAAAGTTTTCTCTGGCTTGAAAAGGAAGGGAAAAAGACACGGGGGTTCACTTTTCTCCCTGATCTGCTAGTTTTCTACATGCAGGGGAATTTCCTCCCGCTGCTGAAGTACAAGCATCTAAATGCAAAGAGAGAAGAGTCCAAAGCCCAATCGAAGGAACAGGTTGTTCTTCTGGTTTGGGGAAAAAAAGCAGGAGGCCATCAGGAAACCTAGTACTTAAGCGTGGAAAAAAAAAATTCACGTTATTTTGCACAAGTCTCCCATGATGATAATATAAAGATGTCCCCAACTCAGCCCACCAACCCATTTTGGCCTGCGTGAAACTTCTCAAAAAAACTCCTGTCCGGCCCTGAAAAATTAATAAATTAAGAACAAACATTACACAGTAACAGAGACTTTCTCCAAACGTCCCAGACACATTTGACTTGAAAAGCAGTGAAACTGACCGGATCCTGAAAAAGCAGTGAAACTGACCGGATCACGGAAGTCAGCAACCTATCCAGCAATGCAAGGGACTAGTTTCCCCCACCCCCCGGCTACAGAGAGAAGGGGCCGGGGCCTGGAAGACCAAAGAGGACGGAGGGAAAGGACACCCCGCCCCCAAAGTTCTTCAGTTCTCTCCGGGAGCCAGCATTTAACCACCATTCAAGGTTTGCGACTGAAGCAAGGTGGGCTGAAAGGGCAACTCCGCCCACGCCTTGGCCTTCGCCTTCCAAACTCCCATCTCTTCATCCCACAAATCTGTACAAATGGAGGAAAACCAGGGCAAAAAAGAAGCCGAGAGGCGCTTCCCATTCCACCGAGACTCTCTTCTCAGATGACGGAGAAGGCAAGGCAATAATCGGGGCAGCGGGAGAAACTGACTGGATCCCGCTGGCCATGCGGCGGAAGAAAAGAGGTCCTTATGACGGCCGAATCCCTTCTGGAACCTCGCGATCTCCAGGACAAGGGGGAAAATGGGGAAGACTCCCCACTTTTTTGGGGGGGGGGGGGTGGAGAAGGTGTGCGTGGGAAAAGCGGAGGCTCATCGCAACGTTTGGTAGAGGTAGGCCGAGGTGAAGATGGCGTTGGCGGTCAGGCTGAGGGCCAGGAGACCTCGGAGGAGCAGGTTCCCGAAGCAGCCTAGGAAAGGAAGAGGGAAAGCGTTCAGGTCAGCCTTTCGTGATTTTTCAAGTTGTAGGACATGCTTTTCTCTCCTTACAGAGGAACAGAGCCGGAAGGGGACCTTGGGAGGTCATCTAGCCCGACCCCCTGCTCTCTGCTCCATCACATCTGCCCACTTTCCAAAAGTGATCCAGATTTATCTGCGGTGCAGTGAATCCTGAATCCGCAGCAGGAGGAAGTGGGGGAAAAAAAAAAAGAGGGTGTTCTTTGAGATTCTTCACGATCATTGGATGTTTTCCAATCCAATCAGAATAGAGCTGGAAGGGACCTTGGAGGTCATCTAGGCTGACCCCCTGCTCAAGCAGAAGACGCGCCAAAGAGACAAGCGTGCCCTCTTAGAAGCAGGGACCGGATCTTGAGTATTTCAACCCCCAAGGGCCACAATTCAAAGACTTTCTCTCCCACCCCCACCCCCCTTGTTTAAATCCAGCAATACGGTGGAAAGAGAAGCAATTAATTAAAAGAAAAAGAGTGGCAAACAAACTCAGATCAAGTCCTGGATATAAAACAAAAGGGAGGAATATATCATCATCAGTTTGAGAAAAAAGGATCCGTTATCTGGGTTTCTTTGGATGGTGGTTTTCATCACTTAAGGATCTTTACTCGCTCCTTTTATTTTACTTTTATTATTATTATTATTATTTTATTTCTATTTACAGTAGTCCTCGACTTATAACACTGTTCGAAGTCATTGCACGGCACCGAAAAAGAGTGACTTATGACCATCTTTCACACTTAACGACTGTTGCAGGCATCCCCACGCTCACGTGATTTACATTTGGATGCTTGGTAACCGACTCATCTTTACGATGGTTGCCATTTCCCGGGGTCACACGATCCCCCTTCTAATTAAGCAAATTCATAGGAGAATCCAGATTCTTCGTGTAACAACCGTTGTATTAATTTAACAACTGCAGCGGTACCCTTAACAAACGTGGCAAAGAAGAGTCGTAAAATGGGGCAAAACTCACTTAGCGACTGACTCGCTTAGCAGTGTAAATTTTGGGCTCCATTGTGGTCTTGAGTTGGAGCGGTGCGGTGGCCTAGAGGTGGCGCTCTCGCCTCCCAATCAGGAGGCTGTGAGTTTGATCCTAGGTAGGGGGCAGATATTTCTCTCTCGGGGCAAGATGATAATATATCGGCTGAACAGAACTCCACCCTGGCAACAGGAAGGGCATCCGGTCAGTAAACATTCTGTTAGCTCCATTCAGTTGCCCAGACTCCACCACGCAAGATGATGATTGTGGTCTTATGTTGAGGACTATACCTGTATTTAATTTTTAGTTTGCCATCTTTGCCGTGGGGCGGGGGGAGCTTAAAGACAACCATAAACTCACCTTTCCAGCCTGAAGGTTCTTCTTTCGTTGTGGTGTCAACCACACAATTTGACGAGTGGGAAGAACCATCTGCCTTTTTCCCTGAATCCTCGGTGGAGACGCTGCTGGCCGCTGTCACATCTGTGGGGAAAAAATGCCAAAAGCTGAAATTTCCCTGGACCAAAACTTTTTTTTTCTTCTTTTTTTTAAAAAAAGGTTTTTTTTATTTTTAACAACAAACATAAAACAACAAATAAAGTCAGAGCTGAAGGAGCTTCTTGGATGAGAAGCGAAACGTCTTCAAAAAAAAAAAAAAAGGAAAAAGAAAAACGAAGTTTTTTGCCTCCTGCAAAAAAAGCCCCTTTGGGACAGCCACGACTTGGATGACTGAGAATCTCTGCAGACTTTTAGCCGCACAATTTGGGATGGACACCCTTGGAACGGGGTGGGAGTAGGAAGGGATTTCCAGAGGGAAAATAAATTTGCAGGCTACAGGAACCAAGAGATAAACCTCCCAAGTGGCCTCAGGGACCCTCTAAAAGGATGCAAACGACCAGCTGTCTGCAAGGAATATAAACCCTTCTGTTATTCCCCACTGTGAAGTCAGAGCTGAAGAAGCTTCTTGGATGAGAAGCGAAACGTCTTCAAAGAAAAACCAGAAAGCCCAGCGGCCTCCCGAAAAAACACACCTTGGGTTCAAAAGCAAGAGACTTTTAAGAGACAAGCATGTCCTCTTGAAAGCAGGGACCAGATCTTGAATATTGCAAAGGATTCTGGGAACTTAGCCTCAACGCATTGCCCGACCAACAGGACTATTCCTTGGGAGACTGTCCGGGATTTGCACCCGGCTCTTCCGATGTCTCCAAACAAGAGCTTTACCTGGCGGGCCCTGCTCTCCGAAGGGCATTTTGGGGAAGACGGACCGCTCCGGGGCGAACGGGCTGTTTTCCAAAGAGGCGAAATCTTCCCCGTGATGGAATGTGCTTTGCCCCCTGAAGAGTCGCAGCTGCTGCCCTTTCAGGTTCAGCCGAGCGGGGCTGATCAGGGGCCGGCGGAAGCGCAAGGAGCTGGAGCTGGATGCTACGGAGCCGGCCACTGACGGTGCCGGCGAGGATGCCGGAGAGGGCATGCAGCTACCGGAGAGGACCGAGAAATATTCTGGAAGGTCGGGAGGAAGATGAGAAAAAGGGGGGGGTTAGAATCAGCCCCGTCCCCCGTTCCGCACAAAATGGATATTCAATATCTTGACAAATAGGTGGGCTCAGGAGCTTTTTTTGGGGGGGGGACACAGAGAGCAGGGCAAAGCCCCCCCCCCCCCAAATCCAGCTGTATTCTCAGCCTTCACCCCACACCCTTTTGGCTGATGGAAGCGTGGAGGGCAGACCTTCCCAGCCTGATTCGACAGTCTAACACTTCCTGAGGCCGTAACTGAGCACACGCTTAGTCCAAACACCTCTTGTTTTATTTCAACACTGGAAATTATGTTCATTCCCAGCCCGTAATGAGTCCCAAACAGTTCCCCCGAGATAAGCACCCACCTTTCTCTCCTTGGAATTGCTGCCAACAACTAAAGTGCCAAATGAACGGTTAAAAAACCAACCGAAGTACAAAGTCCACACACAGAGCTTCAAGGTTGAATCCGAACTGAGTGAACGACTTTGCTTCCTGCAAAGGTTTCTCTCCCTTTGCCTGTCCTTTATACCTTATGGGGAGGGGCAACCCCCTCCAAGCCTTACACCCGAGTCGCCCCTTTTATCTCAGCTGCTCTCACCTTCTAGCAGCTCTGCGCATACGCGCACTGGGAACCGGCTCACCTCATTCCTCTGCCTCGCTGCTGCCAGACTCCAGGGGCTCCAGAGTCAGCACCCCTCTCCCAGATGGTCCTGGCCCCATCTCTGCATCGGACGCAGGACCCTCGTCCGAGTCCTCCCCAGACTCCCAGACTGGTCCCCGTTCTTCCCCACTGTCCGGATTCCACTGCCGTCTGCCACAGGCTAACGTCCGGATTGCAGATGTGGCAAGAGAAAAGAGGAAGCACGTGGAAGAGGGTAGGGGGACCCACGCCTTCCGCTCACCTGAGGCTGCCCAATCCTTGGGGCAGGAGGCCTGCGAGGGCGGCCGACTTCCGCTGAACAGGTAGCCCGAATCTCGACACAAAAAAACCCAAAAAGGTCATTTTTAATCAGGATTAAAAATTAGAAAGGGAAGTGGATATGGTTAACTGCAGCGAAGCTATGGCATGCACAAAGGGGGCCAAAAAAAGACACAAGGACCCACAATGAAGAGGGGACAATCAAGATGGTGGAATCTGAAGAGCCTGGTATTGCCCGCTAATTCTGCGGACTGCCAGCTGCTTGCCATTTGACAGTTCGAATCTGACCAGGCTCAAGGTTGACTCGGCCTTCCATCCTTCCAAGGTTGGTAAAATGAGGACCCAGATTGTAAAGTAAAATGTCAACTCATAAAATATTTCTATGGTCTTTTTAGAGTTACCAACAGAAAGGGAGAGGGGAAAGGGGTTTGAAAGAGCAGTGCAGCAGCTTGGAAGTCGAAAGCGCATTCCATAAATAGTTTTTCAAAGATAGTAACTAGGTGACGAAAGTTTCTGACACGCAAAATTCTACCTGGAGAGCGTGATTGATGAGTCTTGGCTATGGATGTGTCCCATGAGAGAATATGAATTATGATACACCCAGGGGTGGAGGAAAACCAGGGTCAAGGGTGACAATGAATTGTGTGTCTCAGAGTCGGCTACACCCAGGCAGTGCTGCATCTTTTAACTCCCAATAAATCCTTTTGAAGTTTTGGAAGTTTGGCTCGAGACTCACAATTTAAATGGAGGAACTGCCAGAATCCTGACAGTAAATATCAGATTAAAAAGCATACTTAGTCAAGGAAAACCAGTGGTTGTGTCTTCGGCAAGGCCAAGCACACAAAGGACTAGAAACTTGGAAAAGCCACCCCCCCCCAAAAAAAACCCACCCCACTACCAGCCAAAATAGGAGGGAAAAAGACAGGAGTGGCTTACCAGTCCTGGCCAGGGAAGGAATCGTACCGAGCGAAAGGGCCCGATTCAGCCGTCCGGGCAGAGACGAGGACGACGTCCGGCGTGGGGAGCAGAAAAGCCGCTGGTTCAACTGGAGGATACTGGGAGGACTGGGGATGAAAGGGAGGGGAGGAGAAGGATAGGCAAAGCTGAACTCGGCACTGCTGGGGAACATGGCCACCTGGTCTCCTGAAGAAAACCTGCAAACGAGACACACAGACACAACCTCGCAAGAGAGGCTTGCAATCCATTCATTCCCCCCTCCCCATCCTGCACAAAAGCATTAAAATGTATTCCCCTTTCCCGCATTTGCGGCCTAATTTTTGGCTCAAGGAACGAAAGTAAAGTTTGTTTCCAGCAAATGGGACATTGTAGATTTTTCTCTCTTCAAGGCATTCCGGACGTCCTCGTCTCTCGTTTGCCATCTCTATTTATTTATATAATCCTCTATTAACAGTCATGGTCTCATGTAGCTTGTGGTTTTGCTTACATTTTAATAGCGACAAGGGCTTTTATAACTTTGTTGTTTTAATTCAGTGCTGTATGCCGCCTGGTGTCATTTTTTTTTATTTTTTATCTTTGAGATGGCGGGGACTGTATAAATTTGATGAATTTAGTTTACTTTATTGTCACTGCACCTCATACAATGAAATTAAATACCCTCTTCAGTGTACATTATGACTATGAAAATAAAACACAAACACACAACCTTCTCATTCTATACATTGAATTGAAAACCCGATATTGCATTAATTTTGCACTATGCAGTAGAATTCAACAGAGCTACTGCCCTGGGATAGAAGCTGTTTTTCAGCCTATTTGTCCTTGTTGCTATTATTATCCTGTACCGTCTGCCAGATGGTAATAGTTCAAAAAAAGGGTTCCCAGGATGAGATGGATCTTTGAGGATGTTTTGAACTTTCTTAAGGCAGCGGGAGCTATAAAGCTCTTCCAAAGAGGGGATAAATAAATAAATACAATTGCAAATTATTTTTCCACTTTCTGTAGGTGGGCTGAATCCTGAAAAGATGGAATAGGATACATTTTGTTCTAAAGAGGCATTTCTCAACTGAGCAATTTTAAGGTGTGGGGACTTCAAACTCCCAGAATTCCTAAGTGGCTGGGGGATTCTGGGAATTGAAGTCCACACATCTTAAAAGTTGCACAGATCGAGAAAAAGGATCGAAAGCATTGGGAACCAGCTGCTTTCTGACCAAATCTTACCAGCATTGAATTACAATTAGCTGATTTATTTGATTTACGCCTTCTGCACGCAAACATTCCCTTCCCACAAGATGTATGAATTTCCAGGCAGCTCATCCATCCGTGGTGAGAAAAATATATCAGTACAATTATCGGAGGTGGCGCTGGAGAATTTGAGTTTGAAAACAACCCTTTTTTTGGCTAATTAATAGGGATTTTATCCAGAAAGCAGAAATAAGATGTGCACGCATTTCTTTTCTCTCTTATCCAAATGCCACATGCTTTGTTTGGGAAGTGAAAAAAAAAAAGGTTGCTTTTTCTCCGATAAAGAGTTATCACATCGGTGCAAGAATAAAAGACAGAAAAAGGTGTGGCTGAAATGGCAATGAGAACTGGGGATGGAGTTTGGGAGAGAAAGAGAAAAAAAGAGAGAAAAATTGAGAGAGAAAGAGAAAGAAAGAAAAAGAGAAAGAAAGAAAGAAAGAAAGAAAGAAAGAAAGAAAGAAAGAAAGAAAGAAAGAAAGAAAGAAAGAAAGAAAGAGGGAAAGAGAAAGAAAAAGAGAAGGATGAAAAGAAACAGAAAAAGAGGGGGGAGAAAAAGGGAGGCAGAGAAAAAAGGAGGCACAGAGAAAGAAAAAGTAGGATGAAAAGAAACAGAAAAAGAGGGAGGGAGGGAGAGAGAAAGAAAAATTGGAAGAGAAAGAGAAAAAGGAAGCAGAGAGGCAAAAAGAGAAGGAGGAAGAGTGAAAGAAAAGGAGAGCGGGAAAAAGGGAGGGAGGTAAAGAGAAAGAGGAGGAAAAGAAACAAAAAAAGGAGGGAGAGAAAGAAAAAAGAGGAAGAGAGAGAAAAAAGAAGGAAAGGGAAGGAGGGAGAGAGAGAGAGAAAGAGAAGAAAAACTCACAAAAGGCTGCGTCAAGCTTGTGCCATTTTGTAAAAAAAGGCTTCGTAAAAAAAAGGTGCTTTTTTTTTCCTGCCTGGATTTTAAATAAGACGCCAGAGAGAAATTTTTTAAACCGATTCTCCAGCGGATGGGAAGCATTGAAAACAACCAGAGGGGAGGAAAGTGCCTGGACAAAATGGGATGGGAAACATGCAAGACAAAAACACGTGGAGATGATTCCTCCTCCGTCCGACCAAGAAACAGGCCCTGGCTTGAATCTGGGGTCCAGCATCTCTTTTTCCAGGAACGAAAATGAAAATAAAAATAAAACAAGACAAAGCCCTTTGCCGGCTCTGGCATTCAAAGCTTTGTCTCTCCATCCGGGCACTACCAGTTGCTCCGAGGGCTGGGCATCGTTACATGGCTCCCTGCCATTGGCTGAGCCCATCCTGTGTTTTGGGGGGGGGGGGGGCGGCGACAGCTCCCGCCAGCAATGGGGAGGGGGGCAGTCCCCAGGGCGGCTCGGGTACTAGCCGATCCCTGGCTGTGTGGGAGGGGGCACCAAAGGCATCCTTGAGGCTCGCTGGAGGGCACCCGGGGAGGAAGAGGAAGGTAGAAGATGCCGAGAGAGGAAGGAGCAGGCTGGCATCCTCTTCGAATCGCCTTAAGGGAGGAAGCCGCGGGGTGGGAGATCTTGAAAAGTTTGACCAGCTGCCTGCAAGGAATATAAATCCTTCCCTTATTCCCCTCCATCCAGTCAGAGCTGAAGGAGCTTCTGGGATGAGAAGCGAAACATCTTCACAGAAAAACCAGAAGGTCCAGTGGCCTCTTGGGGGAATAAAATAAAAAGGACCTTTGGGAACAACCAGGATCTGGAGGGCTTTGAGAAACCTCTACAGGCTTCCCAGTCCAATGAAACTTTGGTTCTGCTTAGCCGCCTTCTCTGCCCCGCGCCTCCTTCGAAGCAAGGAAGAAGCCATGAGGGCCGGGAACCTGATTTTAAGTTTGAGCTTGAAAAGCCATCGTTCGGAGTTCAGGTCTCTGAAGATGCCACAAAACAAGCCACCACCAGCCCTCCCAGACCCGTCTCGTTTTGAAAACACGTCTCCAAATCTCTCTTGATAGAATCAGGATCACGTGAAGCATCGGTACCGCTTTACAAGGCCACCCTTCGAATATTGCATCCAGTTTTGTTCTCCACAATATTAAAAAAAGAGGCTGAGATCTCGTGGAAAGCGTGCAGAGAAGAGAAACAAAGATGATTAGGAGGCTGGAGGCTACAATAGATGACCAAGAACGGTTGCAGGAATGGGGTATGGCCGGTCCAGAGAAAAGAAGGACTAGGGGTGACATGATAGCAGTCTTCCGATATCTCAGGGGCTACCCCAAAGAAGAGGGAGTCAAGCTATTCTCCAAAGCACCACAAGGTAGGAAAAGAAGCAATGGGTGCAAACTAATCAAGGAGAGAAGCAACCTGGAATTAAGGAGGAATTTCCTAATGGTGAGAATTAACCAGTGGAACAGCTTGCCACCAGAAGTTGTGAATGAAGTTTTAACTCCCTTCCAATTCTGTTATTCTATGTTCTTTGGCTCCACAGTTTTGTACCAACGCAAATTTTGCGTTGAGGGCTGCTGGACTCCAAAAACCATCAATGATCAGGGAAGATGGAGACCGGAGTCCAACTGCTCCAGGAAAAGCACAGATTCCTCACAGCCCTGGTGGGAATTCAGAAGCATCACCCAAAACCCCTGTAAAAATTCTTCTGAACCTTGATAGGAAACTTAATTAAAATCAAGAGACACCGAAAGGTAAATCTAAATACACCTGTAAACCAGGAACGGAAAGGTGTGTTTGATTTTTTTTTCTACACCGTGTTTATCTGCACAGCCCTGGTTTACTGATCAACCACAACCCTGCAACTCTAAGGAAGATGCTCAACCTATCTACCATTTGCCGACGGAAGTTGGGGGTCACCTTAGCTAAGTCTGTTTTTCTCCCCTCGACTTTCAGTTACCAAGGAAGGAACAGCGAGCGTCGTTTATCGGAGGAAACATTATCCACTGTCACGATGACAGCAAGTCCAAAAACAAAAACAAAAAAGGCAATTGGAAAAGCGGTGAGGTGAAGGCGCCTTTTATTTTCAATAATTAGTGTTAACAAATCAGGCACAAGGATAAAATATTTAAAAAGTTAAATAATAGTCCATCATAATCATCGTAATTATCGGAACACAGCACAATGCCCAGGCTGAAACATTTCTTAAAACTTCACAGGTCTCAACCCAGTCGGCCGAGGAAAAAAAAAAAAAAAGATTTTGGGACAACCACCAACTGTTTTTGTCCTAAGACAAAAAATGATCCAGTTTAAAACCGGGGATGGGAAGGAAAATCCGATCTGCTTTGGCTAAATTGCTCAGCTATTCCTGCTGCCCACTACATGGTGGAATAAACAGTTGGGCTAAAGATGCAAAAGAAAATATAACAAAACCTGCAAACTCCGTTATTCTTTTATTTCTTCATCTCCAGCTCGGCCCCGAGAGATAAAACTCAGATTTAATCACATGGGTCTGGGGTGGATGAACAAATCTATGCCTCCAGGCCCAAGAAGCCATCATAACTGGGTTTGACTCTTTTTCAAGTCAGTTATCCAGGAATAGAAAAGAGTCAGAAATTCACCTTTTTATGCGGGGTCTTTAGTGCTCTCTGGGCTTGCTTGTTTTCTTGCAGACATTTCACTACCCAAACTAGGTAATGTCATCAGTGGTAGTTTCTGTTACTTAGTTTGGGTAATGAAACATCTGCAAGAAAATAAAAGCAAGACCAGAGAACACCACGTCAAACCTGAGTTACAAATATTTTCCTTTATTAGTATATTTTTACGTCCCAGGTCCGAGCGGAAGAAATAAAGCTCCATTTTGCTAATGGGACCCAACTCCCGTTCAGGTTTTGTAACGTTAAGAAATGAAAACTTTATTAAACGAAGCATACAGATATCTGCTCCAGTTAAATATAAGTTGGCTATAATATCAGAGAATAAATAATCCTACATCCACAATTCCCAAGATCTGATTCGCCTACCTTCTTCACCAGGCTGGCTTTATTATTTTTATTTTTATTTTAAACTAAAGCGAAAGATTAAAAATCGACATTTGGAGGAAGCATTGAAAAATAAAAAAACGAAGAAGAGAGGGGAAAAAAGGCCGCCGTCCTGGGAGGTTGCACTACAATTCCTATCAGCCACCGCACTCTTGTGTGGGCAATTGATGGGAGCTGCAGTCCAACCCTGGAAAAGAGGCGGGAAAGAAGATAAATGGCAAAACTCAGTAGAAGTATTAAAATGCACGAAAACACAAACATGCCCAGGATTAAAAAGAAGGCCTTCCTTCTTTAAAACAAGCCAAGTTGAGTCAGGTTAACAAATAAAGGGTTTTATTTTTTATTTTTTTGCAAAAGGACCAGACATGCTCAAATTTTCCCAATCCTTCAAGCCTACCACACTGTCTTTTAAAAAGATTTTTAAAAGACAGATGGGGGGGGAAAGCCAAGAGATGTTTTATGTTCAGCAGAACAGAATTTCCCCCTACAAACCTGGATACTTTAAATAATTCCAATTTTTCATTTGAAGGGGGGAAGAGTAAGGGCAGCACCTGATCAACCTGGCTGGGAATTTACATTATTTTTTTAAAAAAAGAGAGAGAGAGAGAAAAAGGAGAAGTTAGCGAGGTCAGAAAGAGAGAGAACTCGGTTAGGGGAAAGGATGAATGTATGAGTGGGCTTTTGCAGGCTGTCTTCCCTTGATAAATCTCTTTTATCAAAGCAAAGTGCCCAAAGGCCATGTGTCAGTTTAAGAACATAAAATATGAAAAGAATACACCGCACCCTTTAAAACCAAACCAAACACCAATATCCCCGTGCAAACATAACATACCCCACCTTAGAGCATGCAAAAGGTGTCGATTCAAACAAGGTTCAATCGAGGTTTAACTGCGAAGCCTCCAAGTCAATTTAAAATAATAATAATAATATTTTTTTGGGCCCAGGTTCCTGGGGGTATGTCATTCATTGACTCTTCTACCCATTGCTCATTTTTTACTGATTGATTCATCACTTCCTTTAATGCAAGGGTCTTCAAACTTAACAGCTTTAAGACTTGTGGACTCGGACTCCCAGAATTCCTCCTCCAGTCTATGTTAGCTCAGGAATTCTGGGAGTTGAAGTCCACAAGTCTTAAACTTGCCAAGTTGGAAGACCCTGGATTAAATTGCTTAGGACTTATTTTATCTACGTGAATTTCTTTTTTTTCCTTTTGGCTTTAAGGGAGAGGACCCCAGCCAAAAACCACTCCAAGACTGCAAGGGGATATTAGCGGGCCTCCCATCTCCCCCCTCCTCCCTCCCCACCTGTGGAAGAGAAGCCAAGCCGGCCTGGGCGCGGGTCACCGAAGATGCACCCGGTAGCTGCCTAAGAGGACGTGAGGAAGAGGAGGAAAAAAAGCGGAGATGGGAAAGAGCGAAGGTGAAGCAGCGGGGAGAAATCCGAAGGCGTTTCCAGGCACTTGGAACCCCGCCCCGCCCCGCCCACCAAAGTCACTGCCGAGGCTCTGACCTTCGGGGCCGAGGTCTCCACTGACCCCCGGGCTTCCGCGTGGCCACGGCGGCTGCGAACCCCACCAAGCAGCACAGGGAGGTGGTGCCAAACTTGGCGGTCTCCACCCAGCTGGGGATGTCCACTTGCAGATACTTCTCTACCACGTGAAAGCCCATCACCAGCAGCCACAGGAAAGCAGCAAAGGCGTCGATGCGTCGGAGCCTGGAACGCGGAAAGAACGGTCAGTTTTCGGGAGAATCTGAAGGGGGGTCAACTCATCAAACATTCCTATGGCCTGTTTTAGTAGTTGCCATAAAAAAAGGGAGTGGGGGGGGGGGAGGAAGGAAATCTGGAAGAGCAGTGCAGCAGTTTGAACTTGAAAGTACATTCCAACTCTTCTCTTTAAAAGATTGTGGCTAAGCTACCGGATCTTCTGCCCACGAAAATCCTTAATTGGAGAACGTGATTGATGGCACCCAGCCTGTGAAGGTGCTCAGTTGGAGAATCTGATTTATGACACACCCAGGGGAGAGGGAGGGGGGAAACAGAGTCACAGGGGACTGTAAATGACGTAGGCCAGAGTTGGCTTCATACAGGGCAGTGCCAGGATGTCGCCTCTAATGAATCCTTTGAAGTTTTTTGAAGTTTGGCTCGAGAATCATGGTTTAATTAGGGCAATTGCTGGAATCCTGACAAAAGGTGTTTGTTTGTGTGTGTGTATGTGTTTGTGTTGAGGACAGGGGGAGTTAGTCCTCGATTGTCAACAATCTGCGTCACAACCGTTCAGAGTTAGGACGGCCCTGAAAAACGTCATTTGCAACCCAGTTCTCGCAACTTATGATCGATGCATTTCATTTCTCTATGTGTCTAAGGTTCAAGGGTTTGTAGTATGCTGCAATTCTGTTTGAGAACCTCTAGGACAGTGATGGTGAACCTTTTCGACAACGAGTGCCCAAACCAGAACGTGCATGCCAGAGTGCCAAAAAACCTAAGACCAGCTGGCTAGTGCGCACATGCCTGTTTTGTTTTTTTCATTTTTGCCCATTTTCAGGCCGTTTTCCGGGCCGTTTTGGGCCTGAAAATGGTCCGAAAATCGCTCTGATTTTGGGGTATTTTTTGGTCATCTTCAGGCTGTTTTCAGGCCAAAAATGGCCCCCAAAACAACCCGACAATGCCCCAAAAACCAGCCTGAAAACAGCCTGTTTTTGGAGACCAGTGCCAGTTACCAGAAGAGCAGCTGGTGACGGCAAACATGCCCACTGAGAGGCCACAGGTTCACCATCCACAGCTCTAGGAGATTGAAACCTCTCTACAACATCGCGACGACGTTGCAATGCCATTTTGGGCCCTTGGCCTCCCTCCGCCTCCTAAAGTCCTTCCCGCAGGCCGCCCCCATCGTACCTGATCCGCCCGGCCAGCAACATGGCCAGGATACAAGTGAAAAGCCCCAAGACGACCACAGCCGTTTGATGGTTCTTCCCGTAGACCCAGGCCGCTTCCAGCATCTCCACGGCTCGCCCGGAAAGAGACTGGACTGCCTCCTGCCAGCTCGTCGATTCCAGGAGGGAGCCGTTCCGTGGCAGGATCACTGGCGGTGGCCCAGTCTTGTTCCTCGACAGACCTGGGCTTGGCAGGACCGGCGGTGTGGCAGAACCCGAGAAAAATGGATCTCCTGACCCGTACAGGGCCATCGCCACGAGAACGGCGCAACTGAGGAAGGCCAGAATCCGCAGCAGGATCACTCGCAGCGGGGTGGTATTGCCGGCAGAAGCCGAGGCGTAAAAACTCTACAGGGGAAAATTAAAAAAACAAAACAAAAACCAAACTCCAGACAACGCAGATCGGGTGTACAGTTTCAAAAATAAAACAACCATTTGACCAGGATGGTATAGTCTCCTGCCTTGAGCGGGAGGTTGGACTAGAAGATCTCCGGAGGTCCCTCCCAGCTCTAGGATTTGATGTTTCATGTTGAGCTTGGCCCACTTCTGGGAAAGGTTTAAGGAGAACTGGACAGAAGAAAGGACCTCCCTCTCTCATCATCATCATCATCATTTAACAACCCCATAATCCCTTGCGGGGTGCAATCTGGGCAACTGAATGGAGCTAGCACAGTGTTTTAATGGCCAGATGCCCTTCCTGTCTCCAATGCAGAGTTTTGTTCGGCAGAGATATTCTCATTGTGCTGAGTGAGAAAGAAAATCTGCCTCTACCTAGGATCAAACTCGCAGCCTCCTGATTGTGAGGCGAGAGCTCCACCTCTAGGCCACCACACCACTCAAAGGACCCCCCCTCTGTCTCTATATGGAAAACTAGCTCTATACCCATCCTTCGCTACAAAACTATGTGGTCGGGTAGTTTTGGGGGAGGAAAATAAGGGGGGGGGGATTCTGCCTCTGCCTACCAGCATCCATCGGTATTCATCTGGCTAGCGTCCTGTCAGTGTGTGAGAGAGTTGAGGGCTGTTTGGAAACTGAAGCAGTATTTGCTGTGTGAGCAAGGAGACAGCAAGGAGCCTGGGCGTGGCTTAGCTCAACTGTTCTGTACTAAAGCTGCTTGGTGCTGTGCAACTGAAACTGAAACTCCTCTGCTTGTGTTTTGCATTTGGAAGAGATTTATTTTCAGGTGGGGAGGGGGAATAGAACTCCTTAGCATCAGAGCGTGTTAATAATAGTAATAATAATAATAATAATAATAATAATAATAATAATAATAATAATA